GACTACTAAATAATTGCAAGACAGCAAGTTCTTGTTCACGTTTGTAAACACGCTTTGCAGCTTTATCTGTAACCTTATAATTAATTATCACGCTTTTCATCTCAGCACACAATTTTCATTGAATGCTCCATCTGAGGACCATAATACTGACGAGTGTCGCGTTCTCCTGTTCCACTTTTGAGATCATCTATAAATTTCCTCCGCCAGCAACGGATTTTCATTCCCAATCACTATGACTGGAGATGTGTTTGTCATTTCAGACGCCATGACTCCTTCCTATGCTATATCCTTTCTATGTGTTTGACTGTGATTAACTAAATTGGAGGAATACATAAATGTAAAAAATTAACTAAATTGGAGGAATGCATAAATGTAAAACATGCAACTGACAACAAAGCTAATTATTTCAAAATACAATTTCAAACTCACTGTTACAGCTCAAGTTAGATTATATTCACTTCACTGTCATTACCCATGTACCAGTACAAGGCACTGAAAATGCAGTTCAACAGTTTAAAGCTACGACTTTAGACATTACTTTACAAATGTAGAAAACGGTTTAAATTTAAATCCTATTAAACTGCCTTAAAGCTTAACTCCCTCCCTCCTCTGTGTGTCTGTGCATGTTTTCATCACAGACACATAGAACTGCTCAGGGGGAGAGTAAGAGACGAGCACGCAGCTCTGACCAACACTCACTTCCAGTTTGTGTCTGACCAGCCAAAGTGAGACTTCTCATTTCCCCCCTTTAAAAACAGGAAGTAGATGCAACACTAAGCACATTAACGCAACAAGCTACTCTTCCCTCATGAATCGACCACAGCAACAAAAAAAACCCTTCCACTTTAATAGTAGGTTGTAACTACAAGTGCAATAGCCAGTGTTCAACAGTCATGTACTACTAATATTAAGAAATAGTTATTCATACAAACAAGTCAATACGCACAGGATCTTTCACTCTCCAGACTATGAAAACAGCAAAAATACAAGTTTGTAAGCTACTAAACACTACACTACACAAACTTCAAAGATTAAAGACCTCATAAAGGCTTTAATAACTATAGTAAATATAAAACAGCACATTATTATTATTATTATTTTATGGACCACCTCGTCTCCACCGTCACACGGAGGTACACACACCCATGCATCTACATATGCAGTTAAAATACTCGCATTCACACACACACACAGTGAACACCCATCCAAGGAGCGAGCAACACGCGCACACATACACACACACACACACACACACACACACACACACACACACACACACACACACACACTGCACCCAAAGGAAAACTGCGCAGTATAACACAATATGTATTCAGTATATTTTCAGTATATCTACAGCCTGTACACATATAATCAGCCAGACAGCACACTCATGCTCCTCTCAACACACTAAGAGTTTATCTCAATAGACAGACCTATATTCAAACACACACCTTTAAGTCTGGACTTTTATTTAGATACTTCACAAAGCGCTTTAAGTGGGATTTCTCTCTAGTTGGCCAACAACACCTATGACCGGTGCCCAAAACGGCAGGCCAGGCTCAGTCCAACCGATCAGGTCCGACCCACGCCCAGCATCATGCGGTTAAACTAATTCAATTTATTGCTCTCCAATCTGTTAAGTACACGAAACCACTTTAAAACCCAATCGGTAACTGCAAGGATGCAATTCTGTCTGCTTCTACAGAAACTTCAAGAATTTTACCCGTCAATTTACAACAGTATTTTAGAGTATTCAACCTTTTTGACTAATCAAAAGCAGTTGTAGAACCCACAACACAGCACAGACTTTGCTTTACAGTCTTACCCTAAATTTGTAATCAACCACAGACATATTTCCAGCTCATATTTTAGCTCTGCCCAACTGATGTGTGATAACTTATACCTTTGGAACCCAATAGGCTGTATTACTCTTTTGTATTCCTTAAAACAACAACCATAAACAGCACAATCACACACAGTTACTTATTTACAAAGTGTTAATAGGTCATATGTCAACGTCAGTAACGGTGATCCTATTTTCCAGCCCTCATTTCCCCCACACAGATACTTGAGGGAGAGCCACAGTTTCCCTTTATACAAATTCTTGGAGGACAGTCAAGATAGGAGATTAAATTTAAAATTAAATCCTCCCACCTTAGGCTCCTACCTGCTGGAGTGACGCCAAGGTAATCTGTAGTTGCTAAGATCTGATACAGACTAAATTACTTCAAACAAATCATCCCAGTTTAAATAATCATTTAATATTACAATTATTCTGAACAGAGTAGTAGTTAAATAGGTAATCTGGTAGTTAGGGAACAGAGAACAGAATCACTCCTCCTGCAATGGAATAGATAAAGTATTAAATAAGAAGATTGTCACAGAGTCAGTCAGTCTTGGTCAGGGGTCCAGTCAGTCCAGAGTTCATTCTCCCCACCCAGGCCTGGGTCCGAAAGTACCCACGCTTCACTACTGCAGCAGCATTCTTCTTCCTCTACATCCTTCAGCCTTACTGTTTTTATCCACCACTTTCTTCGGATCCGAACTTAGCTTCCTGTCTCCAGTTTTAGGAGACAACACCCTGAGATGGACCCAAAAACAGAAAACAGCTTGGCCAAATTATATAAGCCCATTGTCCAGCTCACATGAACTTAAAAGTGAGCACATGAACACTCTATTCTATTGCATAATCCAAATTAACATGTAACTTAAACCACTACACTGGCACTGCATCTCATGCAGCTTTGCTTGCTGACAACACAACTATACCGCCACACAAATAGTCAAACCCACTCTGGGCTCACGCTGATGTTACCTGAGGGCAACACCATGCTAGAGAGTTAGAGAATTACCCAGTAGTCCCCAATGATTTTTGGCTCTTCACAAAAAAGCAGCAGATGATTTCGCAGCACCTTCATCAGTGAAAGAGCTCTCTTTCAAATGCTCAAAATGTTTTAATTTAATTAACTATTAAAGGTCCAAAAATATAAAACTATTCAATATTTGTATAAAACAGTTATAAAGGCTAAAAATAATCTATGCAAATACAGTTTCTCTTTCTTTTGCTTCTCAGTAATGACTTCACAACCTCACCAAAACAGCTGCTTATGCACTGATGCAACAGTATTAACAAACCTTATGGAACTTTTGTTTTGAAATTTTAAGTACATTTTGCAAATAGCACCGCAGCAATTAGCCTGAATGAAAGTAGGTTACATACAGTCTGAAATCTGAATTAAATCAACACCTCGTGTACTTTCTGGGTGGTGTGTCTGCTGTTTGTGTGGTAGAACTTTTCCCAGGGCCAGACAGGGTCCAGTCCTCACCCACACAGTTCTCTACCTGCTGTCAAAAATTACTCACAGTCTAAGCAGTTTGTTGCAAAGTGTAACATTTACTGAGGAGAAAATCAAAAATGCCAATAGCATCTGTTTTCGGTCCATGGAGTGGAATGACTACAGAGCTTGACACATCCATTTTTAGATTCTCCATCAGCTCCTCCTCACCTGGGGCTTTCTTCCTACCATCCTCTCTGACCTACTTACAGATACACTATTATTTTATTGGTAGATATAGGTTTCTAAAAAAAATGAAAATGACCTCAAATGAAAAATTTAAGTCATGCTGACTCCTTCAGGGTTAAGGCCAGGTTACAAGATTCACATCCCTCATTTCATATATATCAAAATATTTTTAAAACTCCCTTTTTACATAACTTCACAGCCTAGGGCTGTGTCGGTGACCCTGTTTGTCTGCTCCCTCAGTCATGAAGGCCATCATCCTTGCTCAGTCTGGGCAGCTGTCCGAACAACAGACTGATAAGCTTTTTCTCTCTCTTGCACACAAGGAGTTAATGTATGCTGCATCAGAGCTGTATGTGCAATAGTCAGCAGTGGGTGTGCAAATATACGTGTGCAACTGAGCATGTGAACAATAGAGGTGCAGTTAAATGAAGTAATCCCTGATTGTAGACCCCTGTCAGCTGTTTAGGAGTCTGATGGCAGTTGGAAAGAAAGAGTTTTTCAGTCTAGAAGTCCTGCATTTTGCACTTCTGAACCTAGGCCTGTGCTGTCATGCCAAACAAACATCAGTTACATCATTTGATGCCTGAGCTTCAAGTAATGACCTTCTGTTTTTTTCCACAGCAAACACGTGGACCCCATTTCTAGGTACTACTTTCTCATGAAGTGAAAACAATAGACAGATAGAAATTATCCCAAAATATAAATGTATCATAATGAGTAGACTGACAGATTAATACATGTAAGCTGTTTTCATCATCTTAAAATGACCCCAGGGCCTTTTTCTCTATGTCTAGCAGTTTTATAAAGTGTTCAGTTTGTAATTATTCTAATGTTGTGGAGACCCTTTCTCCTCATACTTAATATTGTTTAGCATTCTAGGCATTCTTTTATAAAACCTGCTGAGTCACTGACATGACTGGAGCTGAGGATGCCTCTGTGCACACCCAGTATTACCTGTCTCTTGAGTAATGGTATATAATGGTGTGGCCTATATAGTATAGGTTGATATTTGCATGGAACACATAATCTGGTTACTCATAGTGTGAAGAAATGAACCACAGGGTCTGAAAAGTGAAAAGGCAACAGGTTATACAAGAGTCATCATTTACATGTGAAATGTAAGAAATGAATTAATTAAATGTTAGAAAGAAGAAAAGACCAAAAAAATCACGTTTGGTAAGAAAACGGCACACACTGGACTCACAATCATCTCAAATGTAACTACTTTTTCAAAGCCATAGCTAAATACATTCTAATCCAAATATAATCTAAATCTTAACTTGAGCATCCATCTTTTACAAACACGGTCCATTTTGCCTTAAGGTAAGATAGGCCCATTTGAGCTATAACTTTGGCGTTTGGCCATTGGTGTGACAGGAGAGAAATTAAATTAACCATTGAACTGACGGTGGAAATTCCCTTTACGTTCAAGTATATCTTATTTACCCAAAGGCAGCTGCGGTGGCGTTGCGCGCTGTGTCCAAACATTACGGTAGGAGAGTCCTCGTGTAAAGCGGCAGGTGATTGACAGGTGAGAAAGGTGATGCATCAAGAGGCAGCACCAGAGCAAAGGGAAGGTAGAGAGAGGATCGTTTCATTAACCGACAGGCAGAGGCACGGATGTGAGCGGTCCAAGGCAATATTAAGGTAAGTTATTTAATATAAGTACTAATTTGACTATCTATCAGGAAAGTATAGCGTCAATTATACACGTGGTGGAAATCGGATCTACACATCGTTTATGCATCACGTTGACTGTTAATGTCGCATGAACTCATTCGTTTTGGTAAAAATTACAGAAAAGGCCCTGCTTGAATATGACACGTAATGAGGTCATACAGTGACTTATAGCTGATGATAATGTATTCCTAATTTATTAATGAGATTTTTTAAAATACACATTATCAAAAGTTGTATGCACATTGTGGTAATAAGCAAACAGACAATTGGCAAAAAACTGTTATTCAGAAGTTTCATATGCATAACAATTTAACTGACAGTTCTGGCATTGTGGCCATTTCAGTGCTCAAACTTATTCATTGCAGCAAAACATTATTCATAGCTACACGACTTGATTTTAAATGTTAGTGGAGATCCTGGTGTTTCCAAATATACAAGACATGTCAGGCTAAATATGTGGCAAATGCATTTAAAATGGTGGCACTGATGTGATAGGATGGTGCAGCCATCAAAAGTCTTCAGTGTAAACATCATGTATTGTATATGTAGTAAGGAAGTGGAACAGTCCCTCTGCCCCCCTCTGTCCCTCTGCCAGTGTGACTTTAGCCTTTACAGATATCATCTATCCATTATCTCTACTGCTTACCCTGAAGAAGGCCGTGGGGGTGCTGGAGCCAGTCCCACTGGGTGAGAGGTGGGGTACACCATGGACAGGTCGCCACTCTGTCACAGGGCTGACTCTTTACAGATGAAACTTTAATAGAACTTAAGAAGTGACTAACCAATGTTTCTCCTCCTTCAACCCATCAGGACATTTATGGAGTTGTGTGGTCCCAACATGAGTGAGAGTGGAGTCTCGTTGTGCCAGGTGAAACAACTTCCCTGCCAGAGAATCCCTCTTTATCGCCTGCAGGCCAGTGGGAACCACAAGCATCACCTCCCCTGCCTCAGCTCCCAGCCATGGGTCAACCACCCAGCCCCAGCTGTTACCACCAGCCCGGCTGTGGCCATGCGAAACAGGGTAAATGGAGCCACAGCGACAAGCTGTTGCAGCCCAGAGTGTGTGGCCTCAAGACTGGGAGAGGAAACAGCGCTGGCCAGGAGCACCTCCACAGGGAAAGTGGTGGTGACAGGAGGAGGGGGATACTTTGGCTTCAGGCTGGTGAAAGAACTGGCCAGTCAGGGGATGTCAGTGATCCTTCTGGACATGAATAAGCCTCCTGGTGACATCCCAGATGGAGCGATCTTCTATCAGGTAAGGGACAGTGGAGAGGGACCTGACTAAAATGTGTCTTCATAGACTTCCTCTACAAAGCACAAAGCTGTTTCTGTTTTTCTATTTTTTACATTTTTCCTTTGATTTACCCAATAATTTGGCCTTGATGAGACAGATGAGTAAGCCACTCGTACTCTGGACACACAACACTGCCAATGATTGTACATCTGTGGTTATTATTTCTGTCTTGTTTTTCTGGCATAACACTGCATAACACTGGACTTTATTAACAAAACTGACATTCTGTTGCTCTTCTGGATCATTTTCCAGATGGTTTTCATGAACAATAAAACAGAATTATACAGATTTTGTCAGAATTATGTTTTCATAGTTGGTGAAAATGATAAAAATCAACTACATATACTTATCTGTTTCTTAAAGTCATATAAGAAAATCGTTTTCCTTTCCCACATTAATTTAGGGTTTTATGGTTTTTATTTGACATTTACATTTCTAATTAAACAAAATTCAATCTGAAAATAACTGCACACTCAGACTGCTCACTGACACTGATACACGTGGGATTACCAATTTGATGTCGCATTCAAGAAAAATGTAAAAAAAAAAAAAAAAATTAAGTCTGCTTTCTTGCAGTGAAAATGAGTACAACCCTAATGGCAGCAATATGTGTTCCTTCTAGTTGTGTTCTGGGTTATAAAATGCTTATATATAGCTTGTGTTTTTACTTAAACTGCTTTGTGCACATCTGAAAATCAGCTCTAGTGTTTCCGTGCCTCAGCCAGTGTCAACATGTGTCTCTAGTTAGCATGTGCGTTGGCTGAAAACTGACACAGGTGAGCGATCGGCCTCGGAGCAGCAGCTGCCGACTGGGTCGGAGTGGGTGGAGGCTTGATTCAAGTTTCACCTGCAAGTCTCATAGCATTCTTACCTTAATTAAAACCATTCTTACATTAGAAAGTTACTGAATCACATCGCCATGCCACAGTAAATGCACCAGTATTATTTAAATATGAAAGTGTTGAAAATCAGGCAAATGTTGAGTTGCAATTAATGACCTAAAGGTAATTCTTGTTTCTCTTTCTGACAGAGTGACATCCGGGACTATCCTTCCCTCTATAAAGTGTGTGAAGGTGTTGACTGTGTATTTCACACAGCGTCTTACGGCATGTCCGGGCCAGAACAGGTGATGTCCCTTCACATCTCACCACCTAGTCATTCAAACAAAAGTCAGAGAAACAGTGACCCTAAAACATGTGATTATTCATAATAAAGTACTGCAAGTTCTGAACTGCAGAAAATGTTTTACATATTACCATCAGAGACTGTGTAAGGAATTCAAATGTTCTCATAGTCAGTTTCTATTCATTCAACCCTTTTTTGACTTGTGTCATGGAAAAATGTTTGCTCAGAGAGAAGGGTTTTGTATTTCAGATCCTTTTATTATATGCAAAAAGACTTAGAGCTGATTCATCAACACAACTGAAGGAAATTGCACAGTTACAATTATGTTTTCTTTTACCATTGATGTCCACACCGTGTTGTCATCAACTGTCCACTCACTATTATATGTGGACCTCTTTCTGTCTTTATGATTCGTATTTCTGGTTTATTCACCCCTGTGGATGTATGTGTTGTGTATATTTCTGGTTTATGGTCACCTTTACCTAATGTAAACTGTGCGTGTGTGATGCAAAGTATTATGTATCATGTGTTATCAAAGATGTGTGTCTCAGCTTTCTGCACAAACATGTTTTTGGACTCTGGGAAAAATTCCCCTGATAGTCATGATAACCTGCACTCTCTCCTACACGGCCTGGTTCTCGCTTTGCTGTTAAATCAAACTCATCAAACAGCAAATAGACAGAATTAGGTAGAACAATACACAGCAGTATATAATATATCCCACTGTATATATATATGGTTTGAAAGTTGTGGCTGTAGTCGTGGTGGAAGAAGTACTCAGGTTGTTTACCTAAGTAAAAGTAACAATAACACAATGTAAAATACTCTGTATAAGTAAATGTCCTGCATTCATAATGTTACTCATGTAACACCATATAGCTAATAGAATACATTTCATTCCTGATAGGCTGACCCATTGTTTTATAGCTAACTAGCTGTTGTTTCAGTCTCTTGCGTCCTTCTATTCAAAACATGGTGCCTACATTACCCACAGTACAGTTTGACTTTTCTTTTTTTTATTTACTGTGTCTCCAGCTAAGGAAAGAGCAGGTGGAGTCAGTCAACGTCGGAGGGACCAATAATGTCATCAATGGTAAGAACGCACATGGCAATAATTATTAGTAATTCCCAGCACCATCCCACAACATGATGATTTTTCAACATCACTTGAGTCTAACATATTTAACACTGAAAACGCTTAAGAGCCCTTCATAATGTGGTTCCAAAATAAGTGATGTAGAAAAAAAAAAGTTCTCCATAGTTTAGCTGAAACTAATGTGAGTCTTCAGCAGTGTGAGTCTTTCCACTGCAGCTCAGCAAGAAAACCATGCCCCAAAACTAACGTCCATATTGGAAGATAGTCACTTGATTTGGTGAATTCAGACTGCTGAAGCCTCGTGTTAGCTACATATAAACTCTGGAACATATTTTTACACAGAAGGAAGGCTGTAGGCTTTAGGAATGGAGCTTTTACTGTAATGGCCAGTAGGAACGGGGGAATGATTACAGCAAGCAAAAACTGATTCAGTGTTCATTTGGGCACCTGGCTATTGTTTTAGGACAGTTTTTTAAAGCGTAAAGATCAAGAAGGAAAATTAACTTGTTTATCGTGCTTTTTCATTCAAATCCTCAGAGCTCACTTTGCTAAAAACACACAGGAGCTGAGAGACTGTAATTTTTTTTATTGTTGTTAGCTTGTTATTCTGAAGTTTAAAAAATATAGATTTTGCTGTTCTGTGCGATCTGCTTCCTTTCAGTGTGTAAGGAGAGGAGCATCCCCCGACTGGTGTACACCAGCACCATCAATGTGGTGTTTACTGGGAAGCCGATAGAGGATGGTGATGAGGCTTCGGTGGCATATGTGCCCCCTGACATGGTGTGTAGAAAAATAAAATCAGCAGCATTACTGACACCCAGTTGACCCATCAGTTATTATGAATTTTGCTTTCAGTAGTTTAGCATCAAAGGCTGGGATGAAAAAAAAAATTGTAAATGTTCCATACATTTCCCAACAATGATGCATTTTCAGTTGTCCAGAAGGTATTATCTGTTTGTGTCTTTCTGCTCCAGCACATTGACCCTTACTCCAGAACTAAAGCGATGGCAGAGCAGATGGTCCTCTCAGCCAACGGATGCTCCCTGAAAGGTGTGAAACGACCAGGGGGTACAATGATGCCATGATTACATGACAAGGGCGCAATCAGAAGAAACTGCTACCTCATATTTTGGTTTCTGTGTTAAAAAAAAAAGTGTGTTTGAAATAGAGAGACTGAAGCAATGGTTGTCATGGAAACTCACTGGGGATCTAGCACAACAGTGACATGAGTTTAAATTTAGAGCTGGACAAATTAGTACCAGTGTGTAGTGCAGCAGTAACGTGACTCCAAAATGTCTCAAATACACACACATGCACACGTGCATACATTTATACATACTAGCAATCTTCTGATGGATTCTAATGGGGTTCATGTCTCACTACGTGCTTCATATTAACAAAGAAGAAGCCTCGCCCTCACTACTTCAGTGTAAACCTACACCCTATTAGTGACCATAATCTTCTGTTTCCATTTAGGGTTAAAACAAGGAGCTGTTTCATTATGTACTGCAGGTTGAAATTCATGTATCTGCTACAGGAGGATTTTGGCTTAAGTTTTCTTCCCACTGTTTATAATGCTGAAAGTCATGTTGGCATAAAGATACCTCAGTACTGCTGGAAAGTTATAAACTACAGTTACTCAAGTACTTCACTACTTACCGATTTTACTTTACTCATGTTCCGGTAACATTAGTGACCTAGCGCATAATTTGGGAGTAATTTGAGCTTTGTGCTATGTCAGTGCTTGGTGTCCCATTAGCAGTAACTGGATAGTTCTGCTTGACTGACAAATTTACTTGTTAGTCAGCTAATGATAGATTCAGACTGAAGGCTGCATTTTGCACAGTTTGTCACAACCAGGCATCCGTAGTTTACACCATCATGATGAGAAGGGCAAACAGCTGTTAGGAGTGTTTTGTTCTGAGTCTCACTTGATCTTCTAATGGCTAAAAAATTATTAGAGTAGCTTTAAAAAAATATAAGATGGGCCCCATTTTGGCCAGTAACCCTGTACAACAAAAGCAGCTGGGACCCTTTGTTACATCTTTTAGATGTGACTGAGTGATTTCCCCTCTAAACTCTTTAGATGGTTGCATTTAAATACAAGTACAATACAACAACAACAAAAACAAACAAATACAATACAACAACATCCCATATTTTAAAAAGGTTTTCACATATTACAAATAAAATATAACATAATTATAAAACTACCCAATTTTTACCTTTATCTTACAAAGTGGTCACAGACAGAAAATGGGGAAATGGCCTGCGACAACGGTCAGCGGCTGGACTCTAACTACTGATGTCACACACAGTGTTTGTGGTGGGCCAGCTATCGGGGCGTCTCTACAGTATAAAACCACGCCACTGAGCATCTCGTGTGATCTCGTTTCTCACTGATGTATTAGTGCTAACTATCTATCACTTTAGGCTCTTCTTAGAAAGTTTTTTAGGAAGTGAGATTTTATTTGTGACACTACAAGTATATTTATTAGATAATACTTAACTATTCCACTTTTACTTACATTTGTGTGCCAGTACTTTTACCTAATTATAAAATCTTTCTTCTAAATCTTCTTTTAGTTTTAGCTAGTTGTCCCTAATAAACTGACAGCTAGGGGTAAAAGTCTGTCTTCTGTCTTGTGAAGGTGGAGGCCTGCTGCGGACCTGCGTCCTGCGACCCTGTGGCATCTATGGACCAGAGGAGAGGAGACACCTTCACAGAGTGATGGTGAGGGAATCCTAATAATAATTCTTTTGTGTTGCTAATGGAAAAAAAACTACATCTTGCCATGTCTCCCTGGCAGAATGTGTCCAGGTTGGAGAGTTTACATTATTGATGGAGAGCTTCAGGCATCCAGTTACAAGCTCCTTTCCTTCCAGTCTTTGCTCTGTGAGGCAAAATTCTGCTGAAAGGGCTTCGTGTGTTTGGTTGTGTTCAGGATTTACTGTTGGAAAAAAGAGGGTCAACGTTTAATATTTTGTATAGGGACTATACTAGTCTGGAGTTGTACAAAATTGGTACCAAACATAGATTTAAAATTGTATTTTCAAACATGTTTTGCCCAAAAAACTATAAGCTGATCATTTCCAATCATTAGTCTACCATGTTTTATTATCTGCAGGGCTGTTGGTTATAAAAAGAGTTTTAATACCCTTCAGAATCCAAGTTGATTTTGGCTCATTTAAAAAAAGAAAAAATTTAAGGCACTTAAATAAAACTACTTTTGTTCCACTTGTTTTTGCATCTTCTCATTGAATGTCTATGTATGGCTGTAAATCCAGGGGCGCCGCTAGCAGTTTTGGGCCCTATGAAAACATTTGAAGTTGGGCCCTCTACCTCAGGTTTATTTATTTAAAAAAACCATTTTTCTCTGTTTTCTCTACAAGTCAAACATATTCACTGTCAGGGTCAAGACTCTTCACACTTGTTTGGACTGTGTTAAAATCAAAAAACATACATATGGCCATGGACACACTGTAACAGGGACCTGTGAGAAAACATTTCACCACCAAACAAACTATCTCTCTCTGTTCAGGTGAACGTGGAGCGTCGGTTGTTCAGTTTCAGCTTCGGGGACCCCCGTGCCAGGATGAACTGGGTCCATGTAGAGAACCTGGTGCTGGCTCACACGCTGGCAGCTGAGGCGCTCACAGTGAAGAGGAGCTGTGTCGCTGTGAGTCAGACACCATCCAGCTTTCTGTTCTGCACATGAACAACTGTCTATGGCCACTTTCAAAGGTCAAAGATAACATCCAGTTCTGTTCTTTTGCAGAGTGGACAGGCCTATTTCATTAATGACGGAGTTTCAGTCAACCTCTTTGATTGGTTGACACCTTTGGTGAGTTATAGGATAAGGGTGGTGACAGCCTGTTTTTCCTCATTGTCAATAAATATCATACATGTAATACCAAAATGTAACCAGCTTTATAAGATTTTAAATAATATTTACAACTGGTACGACCAAAACATTAGTGGTTCTGATGTTTTCTTGGGGTTTTTTGAGAATAAAATAAAACAAAATAATCATAGCCTTATCCTAAAATTTCAAGTATATTTCCAGTTTAATTAAAATGCATTTAGTCACAACTAGGTTTAACTGACTTCCCTTTGTTTTGTGTCACTTTTTTCACTGCAGTTTGAAAATCTGGGCTACAGCAGACCATCGATCCATCTGCCTTTTTCATTGGTCTATTCAGCAGGTAGTTAATTTCTTCCTCAAGTCCTTTTAGATATCCCTTACATCATAACTGTTTAAACATTGGGCATTGTGGTACTAACACCTATCTTGTATGTATATTTTCCTTCTGCTTCCAGCCGTCCTGGTAGAATATTTGCATGTGCTACTGAGACCAGTGATAAAAGTACCTCTCCTTTTTACCAGAAATGAGGTAAATTATGTTTCATCCTGTCTCTTTAAAACTGTCTTTTACCTCTCAGACTTCAAAATGATTCTGGAGATCTAGCCGTATATGCTCTTGAGCATGTTTTTTAAATATCACACAGAAGCTGAACTTAAAAGTCAAAACAACCAGTGACTCTCGAATGCAGCAAGTTACACACTGTGTAGCTGTCTGTAGACATATGCATCCATATGTACCTGGCTGAGTATGTATCATGTTGGTGAGAGATTATATTACCTGCTCCTCTAATGAGTGCATTCGTGTTTAAGTCTCTTCCACAACACCAAAGACAGACTTCATTAAGGTGGAGAGTTTCCTATCAGCCCCCTTGCTCTCCCCCTCCCTCATCTGATGCTACGTATCTCCGGTGTATGAATTATGGAAAACCAACTTAAGCAAAAATATTGGTAGATAATGAAATGCCAAAGTTCTCATGGTCACTGGAAGCCCTTTATTAATGTCTACTGGTCTGTAGTGCTATTAAAAACACAGGATCAAGCTGAGGGAAGCCTGATAAAAGCGTCTTAAGGAGCCTCCGTCATGGCCTGTAAGGTCCTCATGAATGTGTGATGAGGCAGAAACCAAAGCTGAGCGTCACGGGCCTCCGCCCAGAGCTCATTTTGTCAGACAGCTGCTGGCTGGGGATCAATGAATGTCCTGTGAATAAAATATAAACTGCTGTGGGTCAGAAGAGGAAGTTTGAGATGAAACTTACAGGAAGTGACCGCAGTACAGTGGCTGTTGCCATGGCGATTGGACTCCGGCAACCTCTTGGCTGAGCTCAAATGATCCTGCCAGATCTCAGGTTAAACCATTGTATGACATGGAGTTCTTTCTCTCTTACATAAATTTCACTTTTGCAAATACACTGAAGAAGATGCCATTTCACATGTCAAATGAGATCAAATATAGACACTGCAGAGAGCCAAGTCATATGTTTTGACTTGGTCAATATGCTCAAAGGATAAGTCCAATGTTGGTTTGTTGATATGGTTGTATGGTTTTCATATCAACAAATCAAAGATCAACAGCCAACATGGAACTGCTCCTATAAACAAGTGGGACGCCTGGATTAACGGTATTACTTCTACACATACTGTATAGACGCACAAAACTGCACCCCACCAATGCACAAATCTCATTCATCATCCAGCATTAGGTAGAATACCAAAACAAAACATTTTTTGTTACAGCAGTTAGTACAGATTGATAATGAATTGGGCGTTGCCTTTTTGCCAGCACACAGTACTTAATATTATTTGTTTAGTTAGCCTAGGAGACAGGTTTTCATTTGGTTTGAGCCAGATTTTAAAAAGGCATCTCACATCACTACCACATCAGCAAAATTCTGAACATCTGCCAGGAGATCTCTACAGTGACAATGAATGTCAGACATGTTGAGCAGGACTCAGCAGTGTGTGCCTGTAGTGTTTCTAACAGTATGGACCTGTATAGATCAATGTACAACAATTATGCATGAGTGATGCAGGACCTTTTGTCAAATGTGTGTGCTGACTGAAACAGTTTTACCAAATAAAAGAAGACTTGATTTATAGAAGGATATACTGTAGGAAAAGAGCTTGTGTGTTTGTGTGTACTTTACATGCACACACTTTATCCCCAGCCATTAAGAAGATGCAGTAACCGGAGGCATCCATCACTCACAAGCTATCTGAGCGTAAAGACAAGTTGGCCAAACTGGGGTTGACTTCTAGAGCTAATTTCTGTCTTGATAAAATTGTGTGTGTAAATGCCTGTTTTTTCACTGTAGGTGAGGAACATTGCAGTAAGCCACACTTTCAAGATCGACAAAGCAAGTCGAGAGCTGGGTTACTGTCCGAAGTCCTACAGCTTGGTGGACTCTGTGGAGCAGTACCTCAAGTCCCGACAGCTTCACTCCCGCTCACCTATTTTCAGTCTTTCTCAGACCTCCCAGCTGCCCCAGCACCTTGTTGTGCTGCTGCTGATGGGTCTCAGTCTGATGCTGCTGATGTTATGCTGCATAGTCTGTCACAGCTGATCAGATTTCATGGATGGACAGCTGTACTAAAAGCTGCCTCAGGCACTGGAATTTAGAAACAAACACTTCCCTGTTGTTAGGAAATTTCAGGTTTTGTTTAGATGTGGCAAAATAATTTTCTTACACAGTGACCTGCATATTCTCAGCACGTATAACATATTATAGAAACTTGCAGACACAATAAAATATGCCCTAAAAATAAGATTTCAGAACATCAGTTTGTGTGATTTCCTCTGGTGCTAATTCTTCTTCTTTTTGTCTTCTTTTTTTTTTTGTCTTCTTCTTTTTGAAGCTGGTCTACCTGTGAATGTTCTGGATTCCTTTGCAGTTTGAACCTACTCTGATTTTATCAAATGGAAAAAAAATAATTTGTGTTTGTATTGCAAATGTTTAAATTTTGATTTATTGAATTTATAGCATGCTTATACTTTCTGTGATAAAGCTTTGTTGAGACTTACACATCTTTTGTGTTTTGTGTATTTAATTAGTAATTTTGTATACTTGAAAAGAAAAAGCATAAATAACGAATGCCAATGTACATTGTATATCTACAATAAGCACATTCATTTAGCTATTGCCTCTCTCCTCAACTCACATGAGGTAAAATAATGATTTTAGTTGAAAATTTGATGAATGAAATAAAGCTTTAAACAACTGACTGCTGTGTTTGAGATATAACCTGTTGTACATTCGAACTGCCACAGGAGGGGGGACTTGTACTTTCAGCGTGGTAATCGGTTATAGTAAAATAAACACCTGTAATGGAAACAGGCAAATAGTTTCCACGTTTTGTATGTTCCCACCGGTCTGCTAACTGGGCGACTACTAGAATCAAGAGAGAAACACAAAAATGAAAGACATTGGCAACGGTGGGATTCGAACCCACGCCATCGGAATGACTGGAGCCTAAATCCAGCGCCTTAGACCACTCGGCCACGCTACCATGACGACAGGTAAAAGCCTTGTTTTCATTAGTTGTCTCAACCATAACATCTATAACTTGTCAGCTGGTTGGACTGTGTGTTACAGGTGAATTAATGGACTTGGTGTACCAGACTCTAAAACATTATCGTTATGTTTATATGTTATTGGAATAACATTGGTCTATCTATGCATTAAGTTGAAGCAGGATTTCCATGTTGTAGCAGGTCAGTAACAGTATGACTTAGTTGAAATTTCTCAGTTTAATCTATAGAAACCACATCTGATAATCTCATTGCAGAGTTAATATGTAGGCTAAAAGTGTAATTTTCAAGACGTAAAGACCAGCCTAATTTATAATATTGTCCCTGAAAAGTGTGATTATATTTTATATTGGATATACAATTTTTGGCTGACAGAGTAGGTGCAGAGAGGGAGAGAGAGAGAGAGAGAGAGAGATGTGGAGGGTTTTGCCTTTACTCGAAGTATATATTATATTTTGATGCTAATACGTTTGTACTTTTACTTAAGTAAAACTTTTAATGCAGGACTTTTACTTGTTTCAGAGTATTTTTAAATTTTTTTAAAACTATTTTTACTTCTTCCATCACTGCATTGTCAGATTTGTGACCAAACAAATGCTAACAGAATTCCCATTTATAAAGGGCATATAGGCTGTAATCAATGCATTCATTTATGGTTAATACACTATTTACTAATATCTATAGAGCAGTTTTAAGCCAATAAGAACCTTTGGGTTGCCAATCGAAGTTATGTAAAACTTTATGAAAAGAGACAAAGGCCCTTTAATAGTTTGCTGGGCCACAGAGCACAATGGGGGAATAAGGAGGTCTCTGGGTTCTGTAAGTTTCTACTTACTGCAGCTGACAAGAGAGCCGGTACATTTTTCCTCACCGATTACATTTTGTGATTGTGCATGTGAAGGGAGGGCAAGTTGGAACATCTCTATTTGCAGATATTTTGTAGTGATGCTCTTTCTTGGCCACAATTAAGCTCTTTGATGCATAATTGCAGTGTTGTTGTTTTAGACCAGGGGTGGGCAATTCCAGTCCTTCTGCTTGTTTCCAGCTTCTGATTGACTGAACACACCTGGTCCAGGTAAGCAGCAGTGGGTTGGGCAAACCAGCAGGGCAGCGGCCCTCAAGGACTGGGATTGCCCTGCCCTGTTTTAGACACTGGACAAAGAATACTGAGCAGGCTCCTGCATGACTAGCATTTACTAGTAATTTAGAAGCTAAACATGTTGGTCTTCATGGAGAACACCCGTGATCCTTCCATAATGCCTTATACAATAATATACAATACATTTAACAGCTGTCAAATGCCCCTTAGTAAATCAGCATAGCCTCAAATTCTGTTATTTATGCTAACCTGGTCAACACAGTTTATGTTTCATATGATTAGCAGGAAATATTCAAGTCAGAACAAATATAATGTACATTTCATTTATGTTTTCCATTTCTCTCTTTATTTTCTTTCAGTCACTTGTACCAAACTATGGAAGAGGATTGGGGCCACTGTAAAACATCTGAGTTCTGACTTTAAACACCTGAATTTTTTTTTCCAGGATTCTGACTCATTTCTTAGAATTCTGTCTTTTTAAAAAAAGTCTGCTTTAAAATAAGACTTCTGAGAAAAAAAAAAAACTCAGAACTTCCATTGTTTACAGTGGTCCTAAGCCTCCTCTGTAGTCAACAGAATATTTACAACCACAGAAAAAGCACCTCAGTGTAAACATATAACTTCACCCCAGTCACTGTCAGCTATATAATCTGCTCTGAATATTTAGCAACAAAGAAAATAAATAACATTTAATCATCTGTCTAAAGTCTGTCAAACAATAAATAAAAAACTGGTATACAGACAAAAAAAAAAGTGCAGAGCTGTTGTGTTTCCTACTGGCACACAGACACTTGGCAGAGCCTAAGCTGTACACAGACATGAAAACAAAGTATAGGATATTAGAAACTCTTTCCAAGTGTCCACTGATATTTTCTGGTGACCAGTTAATGACCCTCAAAAGCTGAGCCAGCTACTGCCCACTTATAAAAAAAAACAACTCACACTAGGCTAATTGTTAAGCCAATTATCAAACTCCCGAGGCTTTAGTTCTTACATAGCTTTTATCCAATTACAACATGCCAGTGTCTTTGTAGGTCATACGTAACAGTTACATCTCCAGCTTAACCAGCAAAATTCAATTTAATGTGTGCTTCTCTTTCCCAAGCATGTGGTCACATGGTTAACATCATATAAACACTGAATACTGTTGTAGATGGACATAAAATCTTTGAATACTGTTGTAGAAGGACATAAAATCTTTGGAGGTCAGGCTAAACCCATAAAAGTATATTTTATTAGCTGAGGATCTGAAAAATCTGACGTATTAATCAAAGTATAAATAGCTTCTTATACAATAATTCCATCTAGCGCCTTCTGATTAGTTGTTGTTAAACTTTGCAATGTATTTTACTTCAAATCAAACAGCTGCTTTCTATAAGTTTTATCATGCTGATTGTACTTACTGCATCTGCACCCTCTAGATATTTTTATAGCATAGTTTCTTCTTTCACACATGTAAGCGAGTCCCAGGACGAGGAATAACAATCATTTGGCAGAGCTCTGGGGATCACGGTTCTGGAAGGGTTGTCTGTTCTCGCTGAGGTCCTCTTTGGTCTTTTGGAGGCAGGTGAAGATCTCCTTGAAGAGGGCTTTGTACTCAGGCTGGCCATCTTCCAGAGCCGTCGTCAGATCGGAGAGAGTACCTGAGCTGGAGAGACGTGGGCAGGTCCAGGTGCTCACAAAGGGACTGCTGGATGTCTGGACAGCTTTATGGCTGAGGTCCTCTGTTGTTCGCTGGCATCGTCGCAGCAGCTCATCATATTTCACCTACACAACACACACAACACACACACACACACACACACACACACACACACACACATTCATTTTCTGACTACTTGACATTCTACATTTATTACTGAATCCACACTGAAAGCAAGACGCTGTTAGAAATTAATAAATTAGTCAGATAATTATTAGACTTTAATGTGTTAGTAATGCAGTTTAGTAAGATTCAAAGTCTGCTCCTGTGTGCTGTGCTTCAAGGTTAGAAGATAATGTTGATTCTGAAAAGTGTACCTTGACACCAATTGTTTTCTTGTATTAATCTTGTGTTAAGAATTATGTCTGAATGGATGTTTTAGTTACATATCACGCATACAACATACACACACACACGCGGAATTCTTCATTTTGTTATGTCCAGCTGCTCCAAGCATGCGGAGCATAAGATAAGAGAAGGAGACGTCAGACTGTCTCCAACTCCTGATGTTTTTACAGCTGTCTGTGTAAGGGGTTAGCCCAAAATCTTATAAATGTATTAGGCTCTGTGTTTCCGGGGTCTCTCTTCTCCAGCAGCCACCCGGGTTTGTGCTTCTGTAACTTTTATTTGTGGTCTTTTTTTAAATAAACCAGCACTAAAATGAAGCAAGTCGGACTCCGTCTTCATTCAGATCTGTTCAATAAAAGAACTGGGGTATAACAACGCTAGCAGTGGATTTTATGTCTTTATCATCAGAACAACGGTCTGTCAGCAGGACAGTGGCCAGACAGTCTTCACTAGGTCAACAGACAGCAGAAATACTCTGAAAGAAATTAGTTTTATGTTGGCTCATTAGGAAGAAGTCAGATTTTCTCTGTATGGTTTATTGATTTTCCACATGTCATAACAGACGTACCATCCATCCAAAATCGGCTTATCTGGGTCAGGTCATGGTGGCAGCAGGAAAAAAAGAAATGAGGTGTACAGAAAAATAAAAACACCTCTGAAAAGCCCAATATGTGTGAAATTTACACCTGCACTGACACATTGTTTGCGCATTGCCTACTTTATTAACATGTGACCATTTGATGCGTGTAAAGTACATTAATGTGTAAACATGTTGACAACGTATTAAAAGTTGACTACAGCCTTTCTGAACAGGCTGTGACCCATTAGCTGTGGACAAGTTTGGTTGAAACACTTCTGTAAACCAAAGGGGTGCCCCAATAACACTTAACAAGAACTCCTTTATGTTTCTGTTGTCTTTAGATTATTCAGCTCAAACACCTAAACAATCTTCCTAAAGATGACAGAAAAACATGTTCTTGTTAGTTAAGTAGTGTTGCACCCCTTCAGTTTATGCATAAAATACACATTAACGTGTCCAATTTTCACATGATAACATGTTGACAGCACATGGCTACAGGTGTAAATTTGCAAATTTTTGGCCTATTTGGCTATCCTGGGGGTCCAGGAGAGACGCACATGTGGATTGACATATTTGATAGAATGGAATTCTTTCTGCAGCATGAGAGATGGGCAGAAACATGTATAAACGCGCTCGGTGTGGATTAGGAGTTAGGAAAAATCTTAAGATTTTAAAGGGGGAAAAAAAAAAACGCCTTAAAACTTTCATGCATAAATTGTACCAGACATGATAGGAATACACCACCTGCAGTGCACTGTACTGTGCATCCACCTCGTTGAGCAGAGAGATGCCCCGCTGTTTCACTGCCTTGGCTCGCCGTATACACAGCTCCTCGTGCAGAATCCTGTCTGGGTTTGCTGCTCTCAGAGCGCTGTCACTGTTACACCTCTGTCGGCTGGACCTTCTCTGCTCCCCATCATTTTCTACCTTCTCTTCTGTCTCACTCTGATCTAGGCTTGGCTTTTCTTCTGAGGCAAAGAATACTGTGTCAGGCAACAGCAGCTGGACCGGTCTTCTGACACTGGTAGGAGTGGAGGAGACACAGAGCCATAAGTGTCAAGTATAATGTGAAATTACACACACAATATTGATATATACTTCTCCTGTATGTCAAAAGTTGCATCACAAAGTGTCAGTCAGGACAACAGAGCCAAAATAATTAACCAGTGTGAATCTAGTCCTTACACAAGTCAGTCCTAACCTGTTGGCCCAGTCAGCGCGCCACAGAAGCCGCAGCTGCTCCACTTCAGCCTCCAGCTCCTTCTGCCTGGCCCGGCAGCCGGCCAGCACTGCCAGCCGCTCCTCCAGCCCTCTGTTCTCCCTGGCTGTCAGCTCACTCTCCCTCTCTGCAGCCTCCCTGCGGCTCCGCTCCGCAGCTGTCTGGCTCTTAAGGATCTGGATGGAGTGCTGGAGCGCCAAATTCTCCTCCTCTGGGTCTTGGAGTCTGTCTCGGTCATAGAAGGAGCCCTGAGGTGAACAGAGTCTGTACACATGCAGGCTATCGTGGGTTAGGTACCTGAGCCAGAAGTCAACATAAAGTGGAGAAAAAAAAACAGGTGAGAGACCACTTTCAGAAAATAACCATCACACTGAGATCATTCACTGTACTGAAGTGTACAAATATGCAGCTGGCAGATGTAGCCAGAGGTGTAATTTTCACTGGAGGTGACATCCCCTCTTCATTCTTCAAATATCCTGCTCCTTTTACAGTTGTTATTTGAGACCCTGAGAAACACTGTCAGTATAAACAATCCTGCTGAGAAAAGCTTTGAGTTGATTTGTTATTGTGCACCCACAGATTAAAGCTTAACCGCAAAGATTCAGGTTTCCATCGAGGAAACAAGAAATCATTACAGGGTTAGGTTAATTAATTTAAAAGCATTTTAAAATTCTTTCCAATATGCTACTCCTTATAGGAAAAGCATGTTAACCTTCATTTGTTATAAGATAAACCTGTGACTTCACTGTCCTTCCAGTACTGAAACCAAACCTACACCTTTGCTATAAAGACAAAAACTGAAGTTAGAAATCTTGGTGTCATAACTGACTCAGACCTGAGCTTCACCAGTCACATCAAGACCAAAACTAAGCTTTTTATCATCTCAAACAAACAGCAAGACTCAGAGGCCTCATGTCCAGACAAGATTTAGAGAAACAAATTCAAGCCCTCATCTCCAGCAGGCTGGACGTCCCAAAAAGACTGTTAGACAACTTCAGCTCTTTCAGATGGCTGCTGCCAGAGTTTTGTCAAGAACCAGGAGAACTGAGCACATCACTCCTGTTCCCAAATCCTTACACTGGCTACTTGTTGCCTACAGAAAGGACTTTAAAGTGATTCTGCTAGTTTATAAATTACTCGGTGGTAAGAGGCTAAAAGAATAGAAATGCAGCAGGACTCTGATCTTCAGGAAGCAGTCAGCTGGTCGAGTCAGAACTAAACAGGGTGAAGCTGATGTTAGCTACTTTATGAAGCGGTTACATGGATTGAAATACTTGGTTTGTGTTGGTTTGGAGTGAAGCTATGATAAATTTGATCGTGTTAAATAGATAGTGAGGCCTGGCGATAGTCGCCCCTCGAGCAAGCCCTGTTTTGCCATTTTGTGTGTTCTTTTCTTGTTGGTGCTTAGAGAAGTTTTTTTCTGTGTGTGTTATTGCAAGCAGTATATCATCTGATGTTGATAGTTATTATTTGAAATGATTGCAATAAAAGACTGCAATGGTGAAACACCGTGAATCACAGTCGTGATTCTTTCTCCCCTATTTTAGGGGTGTAACATTTACTAGTTTGATTTTCATTTTAGCTCATAACAATGGTTCATTACTATCTTTCTTTTCCCACTTTAAATCGCCTCTGTATAAGGAACGTGCTGTATAAATAAAGCTGTCTTGCCTTGCCTTTGTGTGCTGACATGAAAAATATGTATCATATCAAAATCTCTGCTAATATTAAATTTTGGTAGCAAAATTCAGTAAATCATTAGCTTCTAATAAAAGTTCACTGGACACAGATCTTCCTAATGCAATTAAGTTGAAAGGGAAAGCAGGATTGTAGACTATATCAAGACTTTAGGGTTAACCATTATCTCCATAGCAAACCATGTGTGGCATGAAATGCATAAAGCGTATGCATTAGCATGCTACTGACGGTCAGGGAGGATTAACTTCCTTATCCTTAGGATTATGTCTAAAGGAGGCTGGTCTGGTCTGACTCTGGGTGACCTGACAGTGTCCCATCAGCACCAGTGGGGTAACATACCAGTGAACTGACGGCAAGATAAGATCAGACAACAGGAGCTCTCACTATTCAAACAGCTGAACTACCCATTGATCTAATGTAAAGGAAGACAAACATCTGATGTTGCTGTCCCTGGTGTAGACAGATACACCTTTTTTTTTTTTAGTAAACCAGTGTCACAATTCTCAAGGTGTGTCTTTATCTCACAGTGCTGTCTGATCTACCACACAAATTCCTGTCTGAAAATACTTCCTCTGTCATATCCTGTAGTTCCTCCGTTAAACAGCACTGTGCAGCAGAGTGCGAGTGACAGCGCACATAATGGAATACCTGTCATGATGCAAGTCGTACAGCTCTTTGAGACAGGACACGCTCTGTGCTCCGAGGCTGCGTCGATGCTCTGCCAGCTGTCTTTTGTCTCGCTCTGCCTGGGCAGTCTTGAGATCATCCACCTGGGTCTGTAGGTCCTCCATGTGGGTCTGAAGCGCTTCGATGGTCTCAGTTAGACTGAATGGAAGAGTAAATGTGTGATATTATCTTCATACATTCAGACCTCTTAGACAAATAATAATGTAAAACAATTTTAAAAGGCAAATCTACTAGACTGACCTATAGATCTTGTGCTGGGCCAGGCGGTTGTCCTGCATGAGTCTCCTGTTGCCTTGCTCCAAATCTCTGGCGGCCGTGTCTAGCTGCTCATACACTTTGGTGTGCTGGTCGTTCATCTGACGCAGTAGGTCCACCTGCTTGGTCAGGTACTAGTGCACAAGAGAGGAAGTGGCAAATATTTAGCTGAAGTCCTTCAGGTTTGTAGTGTGGTATCTTCAAAAAGGTTACATAAAGCTGAAAGGATTAGTCCATTAATCAATAGGATAGCAAACGTTACACAAGAACGTCTGTGGTTCCAGGTTGTTTAGAAATTATTAACTGAATATTTGGGGGTTTGGACAAATGGCCAGAAATCAGAAATTTAATAGGAATCAGAATATCAAATGAATTGTTTTTTTAAGTGCAGTGTTATACATGTGTTTGTACTTATAGATTTTATTTCTTGATTTACAAGGAGTCTAATCCAATTCTGACTTTAATCTCAGAATTGGAACTCTGAGAAAAAAAACAAAACATTTCTTTTCCAATTAAATTTGTTTGGGCATTTTCACCTCTATTAGGTATTAAAATTGGTCACTGGGAGGCGGACTCAATAGGTCAGATTGGCCAGGATTAACATTTACTCCATCCTATTTAACGTGTTTTGAGAAATTCATAATGACATTTCCCTTCCTGTAACTTTCAGATACCCGTGTACAGATTTTTCTCACTGAAATGTCTTCCACTCTAGATTCACTGATATAAAACCACTGCGTGCAGCAACAGTATGCGCTGACAGTCTAGACTGTCAACAAGTGAGGATATACTGTATGCCTACATGCTGTTCTCATGGGGAGTTTAGTGCTGCTGCAGCCTCATGGACTCTGATTAGTTCCTTCCTATAACATTTATCACCTCAATCTCCTGCAGCTGCTCCTGGTTGGTGGAGTACATCTGCTGCAGGGCCTGCTCCAGCTCATGGTTCCTTTCGAGGAGGGTTTTCCCCAGCTCTGCCGCCAGATGGAGATCTGCCAAGGCAAGGGGAAACGTGTCAACACAAGATGCAGGACTGTTCCAATGCCCAAACACAGGCAGTTGATTTTAAAAAAATTAATTCTGAATCTTGCCCAGCTACAGTGTGGGTTTAGTGAAGTGAAGCAGAGCTTATGTGGGGCCACTATATATATAAAAAAATACACAGTGCCAGCCTGGGGATTTTTAATTCAAACATGCCATATAACTACCAAGCAAAAACCTTGGGCCCTAGTTGGTGGTGGATGTTATACAAACTGCCCCCAGAAACCCCTTCTTAAAGCTTCTTGTCCAACAGCTGAACTGGTTTAGTGTTACTCAGCTCCACTGAGGAAGTCCCTCCTGCCTGCTGCCACCAGAACAATGAAATGCCTCCATATCAGGAGAGCAGCTCTGCCGGTCAAGCTTCAAATATTTCCTTCTACAGTCTGCTCTCGTGGTCATTTACCGGTACATTCATTATTAATTATAAAAGTAATTCATTAGAGCTGCAAATAATTTTTCATGAATTAATCTGTTCCTTGATGAATTTATCATTTTCTAATTGCTGTAAAATGTAAAAAAAGCAGCATAATTTGACAGATCCTATGGTGATGCATTCAGATTCCATCATTAAATTTACTCATAATTATGATGAGTAAGGAAAGCATAAAATTGTCACAGCTGGAACCAACAGCAGCAAATGTTTGGCATTTTTCCCCAAAAGAGGTTGAAAAAGTTTCAATGATTAGCAAAATAGTTGCAGCTGGCTCATTTATTATTAAACCAGTTGTTTCAACTTTAAAATTAATGTATTAATCTTTTCAGTAGTGTCCACTGTTGTCTTGCACTTCTCGGACCTTCTGTTTTCATCACATAACCCTGTTTTGTAATATACCTCACCTTGTGGGAATACACACAATATACTGTATATTCAGTGTAAAAAATTTTTTAATAAATAGATGCTAGCACAACAACAGCTTGCCATACGGTGAACTTCAGTATGTATATCATGTACAGTGTATTCAGGCCATATTAGAGAGTTTCATTCTGGTTTGAGTTGTTCTCAGGTTTACAGTGTATCCTAGTTATCACTCATTGTTCATGGCCATATTTGTCTCTTAGCAGGCATGTCACTAACTATGAAACAAATAAGGTAGCTCGTTTGGGCATTAGGCTAATAGGTACTCCATCTATGCATTTATCTCAAACCCATGTTTGTGACAGCAGCACAAACAACACACGTTTATCAGAAAAACAAACACAGAACCCGTGACAGCCTCAGGGAATCCAGGCCACACACAGCTCCAGGATTTTATTCGACTATTGCAATTCTGTATCACAAGGGCAGACAACACACCTCAAAGCCATTTTTCTATGAGCAGGGCTGGAGAGTAATTAGGAGCATTTACTGGAGGTTTTCCATTTTCTGCTACTTTATATTTTGACTCGGCTATATTTCAGAGGAAATGTTCTTTTTACTCTGCTGCATTTATTTGACAGCTAGAGCTACTAGTTTATTTACAGAATAATATTTTACATAAAAAACACAAGCTAAAAAAACAATACAATGTTAAAGATTAAGTTGTTACAAACTTTTTGATTGTGACCTCTTATGAAAAATCAAGTTTCTGGCTAGAAATCCTTTGTTTAAGACCTAATATTTAGCAACAGAAATAAAAGTTGGAGAAAGGTCCGAAACACCTACTCAAATACTAGTTTTGTCTCCATTTCTACCACATTGGTTGGGAAGCACTATAGTCTATTTGTTAGCTTGTGTCATGTCGTCATCAATGTAGTGGACTATTTAAAAAAAGACAAGCTACTACAATCGCTACTGTACACCTAGTTTTTACTACTAAAAGCCTACAACCATCCCTGAAGTAGTAACAGCTGACGAGAACGTGGGAGGCAACAGTTGAATTCCTCAACCTACACAGCCAGAGTAGGGTGCGTCCACAGTCGACCTGCTCTTACCGTGTTCAAGGTCCTGCGGGTCGTACCAAGGTTTCCCATTCTTGTCATACTCTTGCTCCAAAATTCTGCCAGCTAACATTTTAAGGTCACGGTACACGCAAAGTCCCCACCTGACAGAAACCTGAAATACAGGCTAGTCTACAAGCTTGAAGCTGGCAGCGTACAGCCACCCTGTGTGATGAAACTGAATCCTCCCATTGTGTGTAAGCCGTTAAATCTTTTGTCGCTACATCAACGTGGCAAATCTCTAATAAACCCCGACATCCGGTATGTGGCAGATATGCGGAAACTACTTTTAAGAAAGAAATCTTTAAGAAATGCATCTTCATTTTAATCGAACGTTCATTCCAGCTTTGTCAATATTTTCAATGAAATAGGCTCGCCAAAATAGACTAAAGGTTAAATGTTTGCTTTATTTTTTAAAAACGTTTTTCGGACCTTCCTGCTTTTGGCGACAGGCATTTTTAATAACGAATCACAAAGCAGAAACCGAACTCTTTGGGCCAATCAAATATTTGTTTTCCCGAAACCCCGCCCCTCTAGGCAGATAGCGAGATGGATCGATAAGATTTCATTCACTTGTTTTTATGCGAATTTACCACTGTAAACATTAAGAACAGTTTAATGGGAAGACACATTCTTTTCTGTGGATTTTCACTGGAAGGAGACAGCTGGAACAAAAACAAGTTCGGTTCTGAACGCCTTTATGCTTTGGTATATTGTGCAATTTCACTATTTTTCGTAGCTGAAAACTTTGGCTCGCTCCAGCTCGTTAAACCAACACGTACTTGGCTGTTAAGTTATCTGCCATGATGGCTGTGCATGAGAAGCCTTTTTATTCCGGAAAAACGAACGCACTCCTGATCAAGTGTGGGATAAATCATGCAGCTCTGGCTTATGCTATGACTACTCTGGGGGCTGCCATGATAAACAATATATTCAGCTTCTACTATGTCAAACTCTTTATCAATAAATACAACACATCAGAGGGAGCATTCGACCAGTCACAGGTGAGTATATTATATAGACGTTGCTGTTGCCTACACTCACCGGCCACTTTATTAGGTACACCTGTACAATTGTATGCAGTTCATTGCACTTTCGCCTTATATTCTGTGTTTATGTACTTAATGAAGTGGCCGATGAGTGTATATGCGTATGTAGTTAAGAATAGGGGATATTTGAGAACCTGGATGCTTTCCTTTGCTGTAACTTAAAATGATTTTCATTATTGATTAAGCTGTTTATTCATTTATTTGGTTATTTATTTACTTTTTAACCACTTTTTTGTCTAGGCTATAGAAGATCTGAAAATAGGGAAAATGTCCTTTACAATTGCTTGTTACAGCAGACGAACCTTATGAAACTTAGTCATGTAAATCAGAAAAAACTGAAAATCATCACATTTCAGAAACTGGAACAAGCAGATCAGAATCACCTTTATTGGCCAGGTGTGTTGGACACATGAGGAATTTGACTCTGGTACATCACTCTCGTATGTACATGGCCTTGTGTAAGGCAGCAGTGGGCAAGTAACCAATATAAGGCTGAGAACAGAAGTAAAGAAGTAATGTGCAATCAAGCAAAAGAATGTGCCTTAGGAGTAAAAATAAAGTGCTATATACACACAGTCTGGATTCGACTGATCAATATGTACAAGGTATATATTTACAGGTATTACACTGAGGATTATTGTCCAGTCATACTGTCGTGGATCAAGTGTTCATCAGAGCGATGGCCTGGGGGAAGAAGGAAACTGTCCTTGTGCCAGAAAAACAACACACAAAAGAAAACTCGAGTACACAAGGCAGCCATAGTTGTCGGCGTCGCCTTACCCTTTTTTTTGCCCTTCTTCATGCTAAAATTACTTGCTTTTTTAATACCTTCTATCTGTTAACTTTTTAGGCAATACTTTATTTATAATGAATAATCATTTGAAATTCCTCTCCACAGGTGGTTTACATGGTGTGGAATGCAGTCAATGACCCGTTGTTTGGCTACTTGCAAGATAATTCCAGGGTGCCCTGTTGCTCTCAGCGACGTCTCTCCATTTTGTATGGTGCTCCTCTCTACTCACTGGCTTTTCTTCTACCTTGGTTCCCGTGGCGTTCCTACGCTCCTGGTGACTGGTTGAGTGGCGTACACCTGACAGTGGCACTGTGTGCTTTTGATGGCATGCTGACGTTTGTGCTACTGGCACAGTGCGCATTGTTTGCAGAAATTTCCAGCCACCATCAGAATCGAATAAGACTTATAAAGTACAACCAGGTATGGACTTTGTATACCAGAAACTGCCTCCATCTTTCTTCTGTATTCTTGCCAACATGGCTTTCCATTGTTCTCATATCCACTCCCTTTAATTTCCCAGGTGGCTTCTCTTATTGGCTCTTCCAGTGTGCTGTTCTGCGGTGTGCTGTCCAGAAACATGGAGGACTTTACGATGTTCCAAACCTACACCGTGCTAATCGCTGTCCTGAGCTGCGGCTGCATGATGTACACAGGTTTCCACAGTGAGGGCCGCTTTGATAACAAAGGATCTCTATCAGACGCTCAGGGGTGTGTTGACATGACTTCCCATCAGTCAGCATTTTCCTTCTCCACATTAAGAACGATGACCTGGCAAATTGTGACCAACCGGGATTTTCAACTCTTTGTGCTCATGAACTTTTTCCAGGTCTTCCTGTTGGCTTTCTTTAATAATTTTACTATGATATTTACTGAGCACCTGATTCCTCCAGATGCGCTTCCGTCATTGGCTAAGAGTATCATGTATGGAGCAGGATTCATCTGTCCACAGGTATTGTCCCCCCACTGGGTCAAAGTGTTTTACTAAAATGATAAATGGGAGCTGTAGCATTGGCGCACAATAAGTTGACATTACCTCAAAGGACCTCACTCACAGTTTTGCATGGTTTAGTCCATCCTTAACTCACGTTAGTGCACCATCAAGGAATTACTTTCAAAACACTCAATATAGTACATTAGAATTGCTACTTTGTATTACTCTGTGTTGTTCCTAATTCTGTGTCCATCTCAGCTATTAGTATTGAGCTGTCAGAATCTGCTCCGTGGTATTGGCTACTACAGGATCATCCTCTTCACGTTTTTCATGGAGGTTGGAATGGCAGCACTCATGCTAGCAGTTGGCCCACAGCACTACTATATATTGGCAGTTTTCCTCACAGTTAGCATGTAAGAGGTTAAATGACTTCTGACATTTTTCCATAATCACTGTACATAATCACTGTATTCTGAAGGACTTTCTCATACCTTCTGTGTAGGGTCATAATTCAAGCAGCCTTCAGTCTTTTCGGCTTGCCTTTGGCTGACATCATCGACAAAGACATGCAGAAGTATAAGCGCAGGTAAAAAAAAAAAAAAAAAGTCATCAGCGCACCATCTCTTACGCAGTCATCCCTTTGATGCAGTGATTATTTTCTCATTTATAATCAGAAATTCATGTTATTTGAATAAATGGCATTTATTTTCCGGCAGTTCCCCCTTGTCCTCCATGGTGTTTGGGACGAATGCTCTGTTCACCAAGCCAGCTCAGTCGCTGGCCCCCATGATAGTGCTTAATATCCTCAACCACTTTGGATATGAGAAGCTTAAGGATGCAGACCCAACTTCAGATCCAAGGTACAGGCACTTTCTTGCTTCATCTAAAGGTTAAAGGTCTATATGAAAGTTATTTTGATAGCCCTGATGGACCAAAGGCTGTAAATGTTTAGGATTAGGGAACTGTTTCCTGCTGTAACCATATTTCCCAATTCCATTCCTCCATATTTTATTTATCATTAGTTCTTTTCATTCTCCTCTGGCTTTGATAAGGTTTGCCGATGATTACCCCTGGATTTGAATCTTTAATCTGTTAGTGATAAATGATCTGTAATTTACAGCCTATAACCCCAAACAATAGTCAGTTTGATGTCCAACCCTCTACACAACCCTTAGTTTCAGTTTATGCCATTATAAAAACAGTTGCCTTTCCATGAAATAAAATGTAGATAATCTGACTTGAATGTTGATGGTGAAAATCTGTAGAACCACCAGTGTGGTCTTTTCAAAAACATTTATCTTAATATTTGCTTGGATCCCTATTATGGTTTGTAGCTGTTTTATTATCATTTCAATTTATACAGTATATTTAAATGACTGTTTAATTAGAACAAATGAAAAGACAGTCATGGCGTCAGCTTTAACTACAGCAAAGTTTAGTGCTCAATTGCTCATATAGGAATCGCACAACTTACAACCTTAAAAGTTCAGAAGCTTTGAGGTAACTGCAGTTTTCCCATGGAGCTTATCATCAACTGAATAAATATCAATTAAAATATGGCCCTCAACAGCCGTTTCCTTCCAAGGTCACTGGTAGTAGCACTCGATAAATTCAAAGCCAAATATTTGATTTCGAGTCAGTTATGGATCCTGTAGTGTTTATATATTTAGTACTGGCTGAAAATGTAATGCACACATCTAGTAAGCAACAACATGCATTTGTAAAAAAAAATGTTGGTATAACAATATAATGAAGGTATAACACTGACTTTGCTTACTAAAAGCATTCCATTTTAAATAAGCTGCCTGACATGCTTGGTTTCAGCGTTCTCATGTTTTCTTTTTTTAAATGATATTTTCTTCATAGGGGCTTTCCTGTCAAAAACATCCACTGAGACGCAACACACCCGGGTTGCTTCACTTTCAGTTTGAAATAGTTACCAGTGTGCAACAAGTCAAATGTCTGAAACACTACAGTTATAAGTGAATTTAAACATACAAGCACCTTCTAGCTGTAACAAAAGGCTTCTTGTTTTCAGGGCCCTGGAGAGCCTACACAGTGTCATGTTCTACATGGTGTGTCTGCTGCCCTTGTGTGTCGCTGCTGTGCAAGTCCTGGCTTGGAGGCCGTTTTCCATCCGCAACAGTCACACAGTCGACGCAAAGTATATTGACAACTAACTTCAATATTTAAAGGAGCTTGTGGAAATTTCTTTAGCTGGGATTTGGGAAAAATCTTTATTACTGAGTAAGAGATCATGTTGAAATTAATATGTAAATCACTGTGAGAGTCCGGATTGTGATGATGCAGTTTAGGACTGTGTCCTGCAAATGCATAGGGAACCACTGTACATAATATTGGCCTGCTCACAGACACCAAGGACATGAATATCAAACATTAAGTAACTAAATGTTTGATCTATGTAAAGAGGAGAGATTGCTTCCATTACCTGCACTGCCAGTTTCTCTTTAGTTATTGCATACAAGAGGTATATGAGTTATTGATCAGCATTTGGATCTGAAAGTTTGTTAAGACTCTTTAAATGTGCATAAAAAGCCCACTAATGAGCCAGTATTTGGTACTTTATAGCACCAACTGCCTCGCCAACAAACACAAGTTGGACCAAAACCTTTCCACATACAGTATGTGGAAGCAGCAGACATGAAAAGTGGTTTAAAGATAATGGTAGCATCCAGGTAAAAAAAACAAAACATTATGTCGGTATAGATTAGAACAGTCTGAACTTCAACTGGCTACTTACTATAGATTGACTACTTTTGGTTGTATGGTTAAGGACATTATGGCTAATACCATTTAAGATTTAGTTGATGGTTTACAGGAGAGAACAATGCAGAAACAGAACAAGCAGAAATTTACTGAGATTTTAAGGATATTTGGGTGAATGCTAAAAGCCTTAGTTGACTCTGTCAAAAGTTCATTTCACAGCTTTTATTTATTTGTAAAAAAAAAAAAAAAAAAGCATGTACATGTAAACATCCACCTTGACCTTACAATTTTCTTTGAAATAAGTTGAAAGTAACAAAAGTATTTGGCAGCTGCTGTTCTTAACTCCATGCTTAATAGAACAGACAAGTTGATTTTAAGTAATTTGGCAAAAAAACAAGCTGGGACTTGTAACCTAATATTTCGCAGCACATCTTTTTGAAGCACTTACTGGTGTCAGGATATCTTTGGTAGAATTGTGCACACTACAACTGGTAGTTTGGATTTACTCTGTGCCTTTTTTACCATTACATCTATTTTAATGATCAACATTATGTGGTTAAATTACCCTTTTAATCTTTTGGTTTTGGATTTTTATAGTTTATGATTAAATATATTTGTACACAACTTTGTATGCTACTTTTTACTGTATATAAATATGATTCACAAAATAATTTTCTATCAAACCGCCAGTTATCCTAAATATACTACAGAAACTCCTGGATTAGGTGGCTCAGTTACATTTCTGAATTGAACTGGATTTTCATATGTCACAAAAACACTAGCTTGACTTTGAAAAGGATGAAATTGTTCAGTGGGTTCAAATATTAAATCCAACTGACACAACATAGGTAGAAATACAAATGTCACAGAGGAAACCTATCACAGCTGAAAGTGGAAAACCGGAGAGACAAACGGCAAAGGCTCAGCACCTGTGTCAAGGTGTTTGTATTAGGGGTGGGATTGTGTACATGAGTACACGTTGTCCATATCGTTTATGTAACAACAGACTTGGCCTTAAAAGTTCCAGGATTCATATAAAATGGCGTCAGCAGGATTATATATGCCTGCCATCACGAGAAAAAAAAAATCTAGTATCTTGTTAACCAGAAGCCTTAAGTTATTTTTTTTCCTCATTTTTATGAGAAACATTCATCTTTGAAACATGATTGTTCTTGCTGTTACCACATAGGCCACTGTATTTTCTCATAATGACATGAGCCCTGCACAGCCTGGAATGCAGCACACACAGGTTGAGCAGTAGCCTACCTGAGCTCACTCAGTTCAGCAGCCTCTCTCTCATCAACACTTTCATACCAACTTGTCACACAGTGACCCGCATTGCACTCCTGTCCTTGATCTGGCACTTTAATCCATGCACAATAATTAGCCCAAAAATAACACATGAATGCAGCTCAAGAGCAAATTGCTCAAATCCCGATGATGTTACAGGCATTATTGACAGCAGGTGAAGTCGGTGTGTGCACTGCTGTCACTTACTCCAAGTTGTGCAGGCACACGTTAGGGAGTAGAAATGATATGATCCTCTGTGGGGTGTGATATCAGATAGCTCCTCAGGCCATACATTTGAAACTATATTTCTATATATAGGCTATATGTTGACCATGCAATAACCACCAGATGCAGTGGCCTAAAACTTAAGAAAAATTGTTTTAAAAAAGTGTACACATGGTGCTTAAAGGAAGGATTATGGCTGCAGGTGCCACTGCTCATATAAACTGCTCAAAAACATTAAGGGAACACTTAATCATCCGTTATCTATACCGCTTATCCTGAATAGGGTCACAGGGGTGCTGAGGCCAGTCCCAGCTGACATTGGGCGAGAGGCAGGGTCCACCCTGGACAGGTTGCCCGTCTGTCACGGGGCTGACACTTAGAGACAGACAACCACACAGGCAATTTAGTGTCACCAGTGAACCTAAGCTGCATGTCTTTGGACTGTGGAAGGAAGCCGGAGAACCCGGACAGAACTCACACAGGCACAGGGAGAACATGCAAATTCCACACAGAAAGGCCCCGGGCTCAAACCTGGAACCTCCTTTCTGTAAAACCAGGGCGCTAACCACTGCCCCACTGTGCACCCCACTTGCCTGAAGAAGCATAAAATAGCTACACTATCACACTTAGTGGATCAAAATCTACATCATGACAGCAGCGCACGGACCGGCCTGTTGACAGAAATGCCTGTAAGATACTGATTAGGAGGCTATGTATTATTTATTTTAGTGCGCTCAACGACCTCAGCTCTGTGGTAAAATCACAAAATGTCTCTGATTCAGATGTCTCCTTCCAACTATACTAAGGTAGAAACAAGCTACAACTTAAGCTTCATCAAACCGAGCCATGGTGGACAAACTATGTGCAGCCGGCTGTGAGACAAGTGCGCAGGGACCGTCTACAGCGTGGAGGACGGCTCGTTCAGATGGAAACCTGGCTGTAGCTTGTTGCCTACTTTACTGCGTTTGCAGAAGACACCTTATGTGTTCAACAACATTTTACTTATGACTTATTGATCCAAGAACTTTACTAAAATCTCGGCACTATCTGCTGTCATCGTCCGTGCCCACCTCTGGGCTACCATATGGAAAAAGTGTACACGCTGTCAAAAGATTGCGAGTACTTGTTTATGAAATTTTATAAACGTCCCCATGCCTAGTTTGTATCTCAGTGAGAAAAGATGAACAACGTGCTTCATGGCTTTGGATTCTCTTCTCAGTTGGGATGCTGGGCATCTGAATCAGGCATCCTCAAGGACACTTAGACATTTTGATAGATTTCATCACCTGAGCCGTTGAACTCGGTACTTGCAGCCTGCAACGAGATTAAAGTTTTTATGACAATGATAGCAAACTTTCAGATTATCGGGAAAATACATGCTGTAACATAAAACAGTCCTATACAGAAGTTTCATGCTTACTCAATCTGTCATTTGACCAAATCTACCCACAACATGCTGCAATAAAATTTACCTCAACATGAGAACAGTGTCTGCCCACAGCTTGTTTGCTGTACATTTCTTGCAGTACATCGTGGAATTTTCTTTTCTTTGTTGATTTATTTTGCTGGAAAATTTGACAGGAATTTAATTATAAAACAAATTTGCAGACATTTGTATTCAACTTCAAAGAAAAGCAAGTTAACTGCTCTGTCATTTGTGGTGTTGCAAGAGGCTTTTCTCACGAGATTCATGTTCCTCTTTTTGCTTCAATGGCATTTTCCCCATTTTGTAAACAGTCAGCATAGCAAACAAATTAAAATAGAAAATCCGAAACGTACCTCATCTGTTTTGCACATCCTTCTGTTGGTGCTCATATTCCAGCCATACTAGAATAGGAACGGTAATTTCACATTAATGCTCGGGTTTCAGTCTTTGTATTAAGTCTTAATAAGAACATTTAAAATAAATGTCAGTTTACCTTCTTTAAAATAATAAATGCCACTAGAGCCAAGCTGTAGATGGCCAGGAGGACGAATGATAACCACAGAAGAATGTGCTTCAGCAATGGTTTGTCGTGTCCTGAAAACCAAAGAAAAGTTGTCTGTCCTCATTCAAAGCATCCAAACATCTGTAGCTGACCTTTAAAATAGTTTGTTCTCTGCAAACTCTTACCTCTCACTACGAGAGTTGTTCCCAGCCCTACATACTGTGCACCGTGTCCTAGCTTTCCAGGCCATACTGCAGCACAGTAGTAGATCCCACTGTCATTAGCATTAAGTGACTCGACATGTAAAAATCCTCTGTGCAGGCTGTATTTGCTAGGATTGCTTTGCAGGTTGAGACGAGAGTGGGAGTTTTCTTTGAAAACAAACCACTCATAATGCAGGTTTTGGTATGGACAGCTTGAGCTGACATTACAAGGAAGAACAGCAGCATTTCCTGTTGTTCCCAAAATCACCTCATCTGGCTGTGTTAAGCATTTGTCCATGCTCTCTGGAATTAATACAAAGAAATGTAATAAATATTATATTTACTGTGTTCTTCAGAGTAACCACTAAACTATTATTGAACATGAGCTGTCTTTTTGCTTATGTGGAAAGATAATAACAGTATTTCCTAAATAAATAAGGTTCATGGTGATAGGACAAACACAGGAAAGACGTTTTACCTGTTACTGGCAGGTGGGTGAGTAGGAGAGAAAACCAAAGCAACCGCTCCATGTCTGTAGCTTGACTGCTTGTAAATGATCTCATGATTGCCTGCTTGATGTTATCTAAATGGCTGCCAACATGGGAAGTAGGCATGTTGCACTTCCTCAACACCTACTTCCTACTCATTTTTGAGTGACAAAACTATAAATTTCCATAAGTGTGAGGCATTTCATTACATGAGTCATGATACTATAACATGATAGTAACATGACAGTGTTTCATAATATCAAGTACTGAGCTCATTTGTTGTAGAGTTGAGCTGTTTCAGATCACAATTTTTTTTCCTGTGTCAAGTATTTAACAAAGGAAACCTGGACAATGCCATTTTAATTAATCACAGAAGAGCTTTAATGCTGCAACCAGTGATTACTTTCATGATCAGTACACCTGATAATTAATTTCTTTGACTGCTCAGTGTAGAATAGTGAAAAATGCCCATCCTTATGTGCTGGAGTCCAGGTTTACATATTAAAATAGATTTTTTTTAATGACCAACTGTCAAAGACCCCAAAAATATGTTCAAGGATTTTATTGTCAATTCACCATATGTGCAGAATATACAGAAAATCAAAATACCCTAACTCTCTCACCTAGTATTGGGTGCCATAACATTTAGGAACTAAAACAGAATAAAGTGGAATAAAATAGAATAAGAACTGGATTGACGTAATTTGAATAAATCTAAACGGTACAGCCAATAAGCTGTGATTGAAAACCGTTTACAGTCAGTGACAGTAGTGCAAACAATAATAGGAGATTGTCAGATGGTTCAGCATCACCAGGGCGTTGGTGATAAGGTACAAATAGCATATGAGGTATACATGGACAGGATTGCAAATGACCAACAGCAGCAGATATCCCAGTTAAAAAAAAACAGTCAGCCGCAGATTTACATAAAATATAACAGAAGGTAAAACAGCAGAGGTAGTTTTTTTTTTGGTTTGTTTCCACAACAGTCAGCAGCAAATTTACCTGTAATATAACAAAAAGGGGGAATGTGTTGAGTTTGTGCAACAGCAGGGGTAGTCTTTTTATATCTTTTTATGTTCTGTGGTGGGTCACAATCCAGGGGCTGAGAGGGGGGAGGTAGTGAACAGTGTTCAGCATCCTCACAGCCTGGTGGATGAAGCTGTTTGTAAGTCTGGTGGAGTGGGCCTGAAGACTCTGATACCTTCTCCCTGAAGGCAGGAGTCTGAAGTGGGAGTGTGCGGGGTGGGATGTGTCATCAACAATGCTGATGGCTCTGCAAGTGAGGCGGGTGTTGAAGATGTCCGTAAGGGAAGGCAGAGGGGCACCGATGATCTTGCTGGCTGTTTTCACTATGCGTTGCAGGGTCCTTCTGCAGGAGGCAGTACAGGCTCCATACCACACAGTGATGCAACCAGTGATGATGCTCTCAATGGTGCCCCAGTAGAAGGAGCACATGATGAGGGGTGGGGCATTGGCTTTCCTCAGTTTGCAGAGGGAGTGGTTATTGTCCTTACACCACTGGACCAGTTGGCACACCTCACTCCTGTAGTCAGCCTCATCATTGTTGGTAATGAGGCCAACTACAGTCGTGTCATCCGCAAACTTGACAATGTGGTTGGTGCTGTAGGTTGGCACAAAGTTGTGGGTCAGCAGTGTGAAGAGCAATGGGCTGAGCACACACCCCTGCAGAGCCTCTGTGCTCAGTGTGATGGTTTTGGAGATGTTGCTGCCGACCCGCACATTTTGTGGCCTCCATTTTAGAAAGTCCACCACCCAGTTGCAGAGAGAGGTTTTGAGTCCCAAGTGTCCAAGTTTTTGTGTAAGCTGCCGTGAGATTATTGTGTTGAGTAAGTAAGAATTAGTTATTAATTCACACCAATAAATTCTCTAACAATCATCTTATTAACAATCATTGGTTAGTTCCTGGGTGCCTGGGGAAATAATAAAACTACCACAGTGGAGATCAGCAGGTTAATGCAGCCCTGCTTACTGTAAAGGTGCTCTGCACACCTACAGTCCAACCATACGGAATCTGATTAGACTTCTCATTCAATATTCAACCTAAAGTTGTCAGTGTGTAGGTTCTTTGACTACTCTATACACTTGGTCTTTTTCACGCCAGACACTGTGACTTTGCATTTTATGGGAAAAACAATGGTAAAATTAACAACATTTATTATGGCCACTATTTCTGTTTTATAAACAGTTACAGACAAACATGTTACGAAAAAAAAAATTCTGGCTGAGGCCCACAGAACCAGATGTCTGCAAGTTGTCAGCACTTTTACTAAATGTGACTTTACCCCCAAGCTTCACTGGTATATCTATTTAAATAACAATTGTTTCACGTTGCCTCAACCATATGTTAGAAAAAAAGCTAAGAATTTACCTGTGTAGCAGAACCTTTTGCTTCTTTTCCACCCCATTAATCACCTCAAGGTCCATCCGATTCATCTTGCAACCGCTTGGAAGGAATCAACCCCTAGATTGAGATTAATTAACCAACTATAAATAAATTAGTTAAAACTATCTCCTAAACACCAATACATTTGAGTGCTAAAACTGATGCAGGAGTTTTACTAAACTGGTAGGCCTACTTTTAGTTTTACTCCCTACACCAGTGACAGTGTTAATTTAAAAAATGATGTTAAACCTTGCAAAATGCAGGTTAAATGCTGAGGTACCCTACTGTTCCCACCCACTCTCCCCTCATGCACAGGATGTCCTCCGTCCGTCTGTTCAGCTTGTTGTAGGCGGATCATCTCAGTCAGTCAGATGTTTGTCCAATCCAAACCTCTCTGTGTGTTTTCTCAACGCCCCCTTCCACGTCGACTCGCACTCTCGCCATATTTCCAGTCCTGTGCATCCCGCTACCCGGTTTTCCACCAAGTTGGACAGACCATACCGTGTGAAAAGGATCTACTTCAGAGTAAAAAGGGGACATCTTCATTAGCTCTCTAGCTGTGTCTGTTAGCTCATTCTGCAACAATGAACATCTTCAGACTGACAGGAGACCTCTCTCATCTGGGTGCCATCATCATCCTGCTACTCAAAATATGGAAAAGCAGGTCATGTGCAGGTGAGCCCGAGCTAGATATTTCACTTCATGATCTACAGTATGATTTTCCTAAGCTTACTGATTAACATAAAATGGTCGTTATAGCTCAGTCTCTTCTTACCCAGCAAGCTCTAAGCTAGCTAGCTACATGCTAACGTGTCCTACTCATTCATTGTGCCAGTGGGTAACGTTAAGGCTAATAGCGTTAGCAGTCAATGGGCTAATGGCATCTAGTACTGTCGGCATATCCACCACTTTTAGAAGTAGTCTTCTGCTATATTTAATGGAAACATACAGTAATTTAAGTTAGGTGCAGTCGTTATTGTCCAAACATAGCATCACATTAGCTAAATTTGTAAAGATTTCTAGTACGAGTTAGTCAAACTAATGTTACAGGTTGAGGGGAGTGTGTAACATTAGTCACTTACGTACCCGTTGCTTTGTACGTGAATGAGCAAATTAAAGCCACGTTTTTCATAAATAGTTCAACCACTTGATTTTTGCTTTCACCACACACTTCTCATCCATTCACTCCTGCTCTGTTCATTTGAATTTTGGGGCTCGATTTTTTTGGTCTGGCTTCTGACGTGGCGTTCTAGAAGACGCTACGGAAGTAGCTAACCTGCTAAAGTAATTACTGAAACAATCCCGTCAATTGTGTTAGCTCTTATAAACATGTACTGATAGACAATCGCCCCATGGATCACACACAGATAACAGTGACTTCAGGTGTGCGGTCTGTTCTCACGATAAGGAGGCACTGTTTTTGAATTTCACTTGGGTCAGAAGTGCTGTGATTGGTCCACAAAGCTGGAGGATTGAGTGTAGGTTCAAATGTAAGAGGTTATATTCGGCTGTGTTTATCCCTTCAACAGAGTTCCAGTGACTTTTATTATCATTGACCGGGTGCATCAAAGCTGTTCTGGTGGCCCAACATGCTGGGTTTTCCCTTTAATTTGTCACTCGTCTGTACTAGAGAAACAGATTGACCATATTAGGAAGACAAATCGCAAATATATTTTGATAATATTTATCAGAGAACACAGGCAGCATTGCTCCCCAAGACATCCTCTGTATCATCAACTTAAAGATAATCTTCACTCACTTAAGAGAGGATAAAGCAGGTCAGGTCGCCAGGCAGTCAACCACACTCACATTCAGACTTTTGACAGTTTACTAACCTTCATCCAGAGCACCTACCTGTACAGGAAACTCATTCTGGGAGTGAAACCAACAGGTCTGAACTCAGAACCTTGCTGTGAGGGGCAGTCATCAGACCATCTTGCTGCTCTGTGTGGATCTTAGATAATATTAAGCTCATTTATAAGGCTAAAATGATTATGATCAAGGTTGGAAGGAAGGAAACTGAAGGTAAACTAAACATTCTTGCATGCAGTTTGATTTGGAAGAAAAATATTATTGGCATCTGCAATTACTGGTAAATATCTTCCATGTTTTTAGTAGATGTCACTGTTCAATAAAGCATCAACACTCATACCATTAGTAAAGCTGCTGATTGGCAGACAATTTAAATGGTAAATCTGCTTGATATTTTCATTAAAGGTATCTCTGGAAAGAGCCAAATCCTGTTTGCCATAGTGTTTACCACACGCTACTTGGATCTGCTCACCGCCTTCATCTCCCTCTATAATACATGCATGAAGGTGAGTTCCCATTACCAGCAAGTCTCAACCAAAAGGAGCCACAGATTTCTCCTAGTACCCTGAATGATTAGTGATTTTGTGTTGTTTATCAGGTGATCTACATTGGATGTTCATATGCCACAGTCTACCTGATCTACATGAAGTTCAGGGCCACCTATGATGGAAACCATGACAGTTTCAGAATGGAGTTTCTGGTTGTTCCTGTTGGAGGTCTTGCTGTTCTCATCAACCATGACTTCTCTTTCCTAGAGGTGGGGTCATTCTCTAGTCCACTGTGACTAAGAGCCAACCATGAGACTTTGCTTTCCTTTTTGTAAATGTAAAATTAATATTATTCATACACACATAAAATTTTAACTTCCTTGTCATCAGATCCTTTGGACATTCTCCATCTACCTGGAGTCTGTGGCAATCCTGCCTCAGCTCTTCATGATCAGCAAGACCGGCGAGGCAGAGACCATCACCACCCACTACCTGTTCTGTCTGGGCCTGTATCGAGCCCTCTATCTCTTCAACTGGATCTGGCGTTTCTATTTTGAGGGCTTCTTTGACATGATTGCCATTGTGGCTGGTGTGGTCCAGACTGTGCTCTACTGTGACTTCTTCTACCTTTATGTCACCAAAGGTGGGTTTGCTACTGGTAGATGGATAAAACTGGAAATAAAAAGTTTATCAGGCAATACCATGAGAAATTATTATTAACCATATAAAGACATGAAATATATTAAATTACCAGTTCTGTTTTCTTATTCAGCTACAGTAAACAGTGGGGTCATGCAGCATTCACGTGCCCATATGTACTTCTTTACTAGCTGATGTTATCATTCATTCCATCCATACTGGCTCTGAAGCAATCTCTTCCTAAAATCCATAACTCTCTTTTGGGTTTTAATCACTGAAGCCCCCAGAAAATGTACTTGTGTTACATAATGTACATTAGTGTCCTGTGCATTAGGATGGGGCATGTTGATGCTAAGGACATTAAGATAAAAAGTTCTGTCACTGGCTTTCTGAGTAGTCTTAAAAGAAAGATGACAAACAAAAGAAAATGCGAGTGAGTGTATAAACAAGTGAGAAAACATTTATTTGTTTCAAAGGAGTCGTGTTGGAAAGCATTCATAAAATCACTTAACACGTTGTCTACTTTGAAACTGGATGTTTTGGAGTTTTTAGTCTCCTTTGCATCATCCAAACTTGACTAAATTGAGAACAACATGTCTGTTGTTTCTTCAGTTTCTCAACCACACCATTTTTGAATCTGTTGCTGATCTAATTTGCCCTGGTTCAAATAGGGTCGAAAAACAAACAGGAATGTGCATGAGACCTATATTCTGTAGTTTAATTTGTGGTACTCTGTAGTTCCTGGGCTCTTGGTTTACAGTCAAGGCGAAGCTTCTTGAACATGAAAACTGTAGTGCTTTACAGTGCCAAGTGGTAAGTAAGACAGCATGAGCAAAGGCCCACTGACTGTTCCTACCTGTTACCTTTTCTCACCCCTCAGTGTTGAAAGGCAAGAAGCTGAGCCTGCCAGCGTAAAGCATCTAGGAGACGGCGACTCCCAGCAGACTCAGGGGGTGTGGAGATGACACCTTGGAATCTCATGACCTAAAAAGGATGCCTGAGACAGAAAGCCACCTAATGGGGGAAAAAACACTAGTCTTCTTGATAAACATTGATGGAACTGGTAAAAGCCAACAGACACCAGAGCTGAACAACGATCTCCCAGGTCAACCTTTGGATTTCTGTGTTCAGCATCTTGCCTTAAACGTTTTTTCATTGCTTGCTGTTCAAACAGGAGAAAGGCTTTTTTTTTTCTACATGTGAGGTGTATACACATTTCTTTTTTTTTTTTTAAACAATGTCATCGAGTGTCAACTCCTGAGAAGTACCTTGTTTGACCTGGTAATGAAATGCACAAATGTCTTATTAAAGGGTGAGATAAAGAGTCATGTATCCGAGTGCCTCATGAGGATTTTGTCCAGATCTCACAGTATTCTTTTTATTTAGTTTCAGGATTTTTTTTTTTTCCTCAACATTTGTATGCATATGTAATACATGTATCCTCTCATGGAGACATTTTTAAAAGGCAAACACCAGTTTTGTAAAAACATTACTTTCTAAAATCTATTAAGACAACATTTAAAAAAAATCTTTTTGTATGTAGAGCTCGTTCAGTTTAAAAAGTAACCCATACAACAAGCTTTTTGTCGAATGTGTGTTTTTAAAATGTGGGTTTTCTCATTTGGAATTAAACCTTTCATGTGTTTCCTGATTTTCTTTTCCTCAGCTTACTGTCGTGAAGAAGCTACAATGTACCTGTTGTTCTCCAGCTTTAAAATAGATTTTGTACCAACTTTGAGCATTCACACATCGGTTCGGATGTAGATAGAACATGAACTTTGTCTCTGCTAGTAACATGCAGTACCTCGGTAACAAGCTCATGAACATCTTCCAATACAGATGTGACTGAAGTTCACTACGGTCAGAGAAAAAACAACAACGAATGACTGAACAGTGTTTACAGTTGTCTAGCTGGGAGGGGGAGTGTGCAGAAACTTGGCATGAGAATCGTCAAGCACTTGGACTGGTTGTGACATTTCAACTACATCTGGAGCGTGAGCATTTCAACAGACCTGGCGTTATGCTAAGTAGAAATTGAGCAGGGGTGATCACAGTGTTCAATGTGTGCATTTCTTTTAAAGACCTCTTGTTATCTTTAGCTTTTTTTTGCATGATATCACCTCCATTAAAGATTTTATGATAATCATCCTACATTATTTGTTGATTTTTGAAATAATGCTAGCACTGATAAGGATTGCAGCATTAGAAAAAAAGTTCAGGATCACCGTTTTGTGAGTGCCCATGTGACATCAGGCACATCCCTCTGGTTTTACGCAGTCAATGCAGCAGTACACCAGTGAAAAGGCAGGGCATATGGATGTAAATAATGCAGGAATGAACCTACTTAAACTGATCAACAATAATATGAGCGCTGAGAGGTGGAAGTGAATGACTATCTCCTTACTGTAGCGCCTGTCAGTGTGTGGGGTATATTAGGCATTAAGTGAACATTCAGCCCTAGAAGTTGATGTGTTGAAAGAGTTAAAATGGACAAACGTAAGGATCTGAGTGACTTTGACAAGGGCCAAACTGATGGCTGATGACTGGGTCAGAGCTCCCACACTGCAGGTCTTGGTGGGTGTTCCTGGTTGGCAGTGGTTAGTACCTACCAACAGTGACTAAAGAAGTTTTCAAGTAAACCAGCGATAGCACAAGACTCACTGGTGATGAGGTTGAGCTACTGAAGATTAAACATTTAAATTTCATTCATCCTTTTCAAAAGATTCGATTCTGTGTGAATCTTTTGAAAAATGGTTGAACATGAGAAAAACTGCACATTGGTCTCTATGAAGAAAAACATTCAGCAGCTGTAGTGGTGATATCACACCTACAATGGGGAGGCTGTTGAATGTGTCTTAAAAATTCTCTCTAACCTGTCCTCACGACCACAGTTTTCACTACTTTACATACGTTTTTCATGGAATGGTCAACACATTAGTCCTTTTTCTGACAAAACTATGGAAGCAAACGGATTCACAGAAAATGCACAGTGACAGGAGTGCCGACCGACATTGACTCTGGTCATAATGTTATGGCTGATCGGTGTAAATAGGCCTTTGAATCAACAAGACTGAACAAGTTTAGGGAAGCAGAATTTATCAAACTACAAACATTTGAAAATTAAAGGTATATATGCACTGCACTAATCACACAGGACTAAATGGAGTGTGCCATCCAACACATTTCATATTGTGCCAGATAATTAGCACCAAGAACCCTCTGTATTCTAACAATTACTGCTTTAAAGCCAATAACTTTGTCCATCTCTCTTTGGACAGAAGACCAAAACAAAGATGTTAATTCTAATGTGCTTTTATTCACAGATATATTGCAACCGTTCAACACTGTGCTCTTTTCCAGTAGCAATAAAAATAAACATGTAACAGTTTATCTGTAACACATTTTCATTGCCTAAGGGGCACGCACATCAAATATCAAATATAAAAGCATCTTCAGGCCGTAAGTCATAATAATTGAGTAGCGTGTGGCTAATTTCGGATAAAGCACGCTCTTCAGCCGCGAGTCAACATTTGTCCTCTTTTCTCTAGTGCTTGAAATGAGCTGTACAGATTAGAGTAATAATAGGTCTGCTGTGTTTGGCTAATGAGGCAGTTGGGAATATTAGTTAAATCATGCCTTTGGCTTTTGTAGACATTATATATCTATTGCACTCTATATAAAAAGATTATGACAAGCAAATTAGGAAAAATATTTCATAATACAATTCAGGCTTTAGACACTGAGTAACCATCAGGGAGTCATTGTGGCTTTACAGATCCCAGATTCAAGCCACCCTACATTCAACAGTTTGTATCTATGAAACCCAGCTATCAAACCTAAGTAGTGCTGATTTAAGGCCCCTCTCTACCCCAAGATGAAAGTTGACAACCGAGAGAGAAGTAGTAGTAGAATCAGGCTACTGTATCTCCTTCAGGTTTGAAGTTTCACACTCACTTTCCTTCCCCTGGACTTTACCTAACTGTTGGAATTAAAAGAGAAGAGAAGGAAAAAGACTACATGGAAATCTTTACACTAATAGCAGCTTGAAATACAATATCAAAGTAAGTTATGTGAACATGTGTAACATTTATGTCTAAATTGTGTCAGGCACAACGTTACCTTTGTCATTTGTGGGTAATAGCTGAGGATGGTGAAGATGATGAAATAAAAGGCGTTAATGATGAATGAAACCAATGTGGAGAAGAGTGCGAGACCAGAGAGCACACACAGCAGAGTCAGCCCTCCTACAGACAACAGGAACACTGAAAGAGGCAAAGAGAAATAACAGGCTTGTGGCAGTGCACAGTACAGTCAGAAAGCATCACAGCGCAGATGCTGATTTCATCACCTACACTCAAAGAAAACAAAGCCTACTGCCGACATAACAGCAGTCACAAGAGCGAACACCAGGAAAAGTCCAACAGGCAGTGCAGCCATGGTGCTGAACAGCATCAGTGCTAGACCGAGGAAAGGGTGGCTGCTGAGGTACTGCCCCACTGGTGTATTCATCACCCGTGCCACCTGGTAACAAGATAAAGACAGATGGGAGAAATCACATTTTATGATAGAAAAGCAAATATGTAGAGAAAATAAAGATTAGAAAGGAAGGTGTAGTTTTTCTGAAACAGATGCAGGTCTTTATTTTGGGATTACCCTGGGGTCACTATAAAAGCGGTTCAACAGGGTGGTCCCGCTTTGCCACAGCTGCTGAAAGTCAGTTTGACTGCTGCTGCTGCTGTGCTGCATCTTCACACACTTGTGACCTACAAAAAGAGTAAAACTGAGTCAGCTTGAGGTGCCAGTTACAAATTAATCCAACATTTTAAATTTATAGCTATTTGGTGCAGTTCTTCATTCTGTCACACAGAACAGATTCACTGGAAGCTCAGTGACTGTAACAGAAGCTAACAGCTATCCTGAACATCAGTTGCTAAATATTGCTAGATAAATTACTTGAAAATGAAAAGAATCATTTTCTGAAACAATGCAATACAGTTTACCTGACAAGTACACACCTGAACAACCCAGTAAACCTGGTTTGTGTCTCAACAAAAGGTAGCTCCCAACATATGAAACTGTGTCCTGTAAGTGGCCTCAAACACTCCAACAGCAGCAACACACCCTTTTAAAAAGCACACCTTCTTCTTCTTCTGCCTCCGCCTTCTTCCTCTACTGGACTCCTAGGAGAGAGAAATGAAAAGCCTTATTCACACTACTGCTGCCATCTACTGTTTATCGAATATGTTGCAGCATAATGCTTCAGTTTGAGTCAATTTGGTGCAGGAGGGTTTAGTTTTCTAAAGGGGTTTTCAGTGATTGATCATGTTCCTTAACAAATATTTTCTGACTTACTGGAAAAAAAGGTGCATCTGTAAATCATCAACCCAATTACACTTTTCTAGATCCTCTGATAATATGCAGGGGACAAAATCTACCAAATTCTTCTCTTGCATCTCTGAGATATTACCATCAAACAACAATTTTCTTTATTGGGCAGGTGATGAATTATCAAATGACTTGTTTTGACGTTATCCATAGATTGAGTTATCACTTAAGAATCTAAGCTCTTTTCTGAATGTTTGTATTGAATACGATGGCCTCTGTATGCAATGCACACATACACAAAAGACAAGCACGTTGCAGTTTGCATGCAACAGCTAGTAACCTTTCTGCTACAATGAAAGATCAGGCAACATGAACCCTGTTAGAGCTTTAGGTGTAGTAAAGATTGAAATGATTGATTGTTGAACTGTTGCTATGCCTGGTTTGTTATTAGGGAAATCACAACAGCAGTTCTCCAGAAGTCCAGGAGAGGGGGTTCCTGGTTTGCTTCGTAGCTGTCAGAATGACCGACCACACTAAATGACAACCACACGGTCTCCCTGTTCTGTCCAGCTATTGGATCGTAACAGCAAGATTCCTCTGTGACGATGGAGACTGATCAGAATATTAAATAACCGAATTTCACCAGCAGTGATTACGTTTTCAATCAAAGTTTGGAGCTGCTGGTCCTGCCACCACTAGCCACAAATTAAGTTTAGCCCCTTGAGTTTAAAGGATAGCATTATGTAAGCACGTAAGGTCTCAGGAAAGGAAATGACAGTGTGATCTGCTTTGAACTACACTAAGAGACACTCAAAGCGACCAGTGACGACAACTTATTTAGACCCTTTATCACTGCCAGCCATACTAATTAATCAGCCTCTTTTGTATTGAGCACAGGGTAAAGATTTGGTGAGCGAGAGGAGAGACGCTGCATCCACCTCTCCAGACTGCTGAACACAGTGAACTCGGTGAACCAATGCTCAGAGCATTACAGAGGAGTGAGTGAGTGTGCATTTTTGTGCTCACACAACAAGGAACTCCCAATAATTAAGCACAACAATTTTTTCCTGCTGTCATTTTATATTCCAGGATTTAATTTTTTATCACTCGTCCACATTACATGATTCAGTTCACAGCAGAAATTCCCTCATGTCTTGTCCCAGACTCTGAAGTTCACTGCAGCCTGGACTGCAGGTTGCTGCAATGCTTTATCACGTCGTTTCTAACTGCTGACACACACGTCTGCTCATTGCTTTACAAGTAAGGCCTGGCAGGACATTAAATGTTCATCAGGAGGCTCCATCTTCTGTCACAGCTGTGAAATATGTGACAGAGCAAACACCCACAGTCTGTCAATCTGTAAAACAGCCAACAGTTGTACAGTTCTGCTGGATCCCTATCCATACTGCTTACTAACTGTGCACAATGTGTGCTAGCAGTTTGGCATATACAGTCTATAGGTTTACTGTTTTCTACAGTACTAACAGGAAATGATCCAATATGCTCTATCATTGTGTTATAAATGATGTAAGTGATAAAGTTGTGTATCAAATACATGCACACAAATTCTTGTTTTTCAGGTTTTGATTATGTGGTGTGTTCATTCAGAAAAATATGGTCAAATAAGTCTGTATGCATACACAAAAACACTAAGTCTGCTCACAGCTGGAAAAACAACTAATTGTGGGACATGGTGAAACAGCCTCAGGAACAAAAAACTAATCAAATAAATAAACAGTTTGCCTCTTGTTGTCCATTTTTACCAGATTAACTAGCAATCAGTTGAACTGACATACTTATTTTATCATTTCCTGTTACCGCTCAGTTAATTATGCTGCTTTCTTGTATTCTAAGCTGCACAAACAATATGACAATTAGTATTTAATACATACAGTACTCTATACCTTTAGTATTTAATACAGCCATTGGACACAGCATGACACCAATGACACTGCCCACTGAACTTCACTTCCATTTGTTTTCATTTTTTAATGAAAACAATAATTGTTCTATGCTTCCTAATTATCTTTATGCCTCTGCAAAATCTCTGCAGCTGCAGCATTTACCCCTCCATCATTATCACTACTGAAGTGCCCTCAAGCAAGATATTAACCCCAGTAGCTCCAGTGTAGCAGTGGAGTTTTGTTTTTTAATAATCCTTGTCAAGCAAATAAAATGTGATCCACAAGTTTCTTTTCATAAAATGGTCACTTTACATTTAACATTGAAACATATGTCAAACCAGTATAATCTGACATGAAAGTGCACATAGGCAAAACCATCAGGAACACGTATCCATTTAATACTATATACAGATATGTTTTAACCTAAAAGAAAACACATTGATTCGCAGTTCATGTATTGAAACTGGAAAAGGTCAAACATATCATTTATGTTTTGTTATTTTAGCCATAAACATCATAAGTCATGTGAAACTAATCTTATTACTTGCAGCTTATTAAAATGTTTCACATATAACATGGCCTATACAATAGTTAAACCTGTTTTCCTGTTGAGCAGAACAAGGCATTGTTATTCCATGGCTGCTGAGACAAATGACTGTTGTGACAAGCAACCCACTCTCTTACTTGAGGGCAGATGAAAACTGGATGTTCTTAATGTGCCCCATATACCTGTGGTGCTGAAATACATTCAAGAGTAAATTGACTGTGTGATATGTCTACTGACACGTGCTGGGCCGGCTCAACAGATTGCAGCCAAAGTGTGATTGATGGGCTGTCAGCAAATTCCAATTTGCATCTGCTGATTGTAAAAACTAATCAATGCAAGAGGAGGAGTGATGAAGAGCATAATGTAATCAGAAATATCCTGAGATTTAACTGTTAACTTATACATGTCCAACTGTTGTGTGGCTTCCACAGCGGTATTAAATCACATTACTGACATCTGTCCATCACTGACACGTTACAGTCAAAGCCTGCTCTGTTTAATGAAAAACTGAGTGGGACCTGGTGCTTTTTCTTTTTCCTTTTGGGTTGTCACAGCAGATAACCACACCTCTCTATTACAGTGTCCATCTCTGACCACCCTCTTCTCTTCCAGTCTTGACTTTGTTCACCTCTCTTTGAAGTGGCACAGGAGTGTTCAGCCAACAGCTGGCCACAGGAGAACAAAACATCTCTGGAGTCTGCCCTGTGTCAAATAGGATAGTCCACATTGTCAGTGGTTGTCATTTTGCCAGACAAAGGGGGCCATTTTTGGTTTCTGCACTCCAACTGGGGAGAGCCAGAAGCTCAAAGGGAGCTCCCTGGAGGGTGGTAAAGGGCGTTGTGGAGGATGGAGTCACAGCCTCTAAACCTCTCAGAGCTCACCAGCTGTTGTGTCACTGCACACACACAAACACCCAAAAAGAGATGTGGTGTACAAAAGTACATTTTACAAATGACGATCTTTATCAGTGGTGATAATTACTATATGTTCAGTTTGATATTTTGGATGTGCTTATTGACTTTTCTTGCTAAGAGTTAGATGAGGAAATAGGGACCACTCACATACCTAAAGTTTGTGAGAGACCTGAAGACTAACTGAAAACTGCATAGACTGGACAAACCACATAGTGTCAAATCAAGTCTTGGACAGTCAGAGATGAGCACAAATCTTACAGCTGAGTAAATACACTAGGCTAGAAAACACAGTGAACGACTGACCCGTCCGGAGACCTGGTTGCAGACGACCCCACAAATCCCAGTCCAACCGAAACCTCTAAAACCACCACAAAGGGTAGGTGAAGTCTATTTCCCCAGAGATATGCATTTCCCCTTACCTTAATCTGAGCCTAACTTTCACCCTAACCAGCCATGTCTTATGACAGCCACCATCTTGACAGCTTGGCTACTGCATGAATGCTCTCAAGTCGTGTCTACAGGAACCATTTCCATCCTCCCCATTTTGCCAACATGACATGAAAACAAGAAACAGCTAGCCAGGCTCTATCCTTTAAAACTCACAAACTGACTACTACTATATCTAATTTATTTCATCCATACAAAAGTGTAGAAGCAATTTTTATGTGTTATACTTGACTGTTTCATGGCCAGGGCCAGTTCATAACCAGCCAGCCAACCAGTGAACTGTCATTTTCACACTTTGGCCTTAGTGTGAACTTAATTAGTGAGCTACACAGGTGCTAATAGGCAGATCTGGTATTTCTGGACAGAGCCACTAGAATTCGTTTCCCCATTTCAGTCTATCTGCTAAGCTTCTGTAGGTTACGGTACAGTTATTTACGGTACAGACAGTAAACTGTAAGTGAATACATGTTGTTCCCAAAATGTAGAACTACTCCTTTAAGTACCCTAACATCACATTTAAAAAACAGTGCTGTCACAGGTTGCCTGCTTGCTTTTATCAGCACTTTGTACATCTCTGTTGATCAGAATGTCAGTTCATCATCCACTTCATTATGGACAGACTGAATTAGCGATATTTAATCAGTGCATTTCCATCATTCTATAATAACAAATCAACACGTCCACTGCAAGTCTACCAGAACACAAACTTCATCAATTAGATACAAAACCTATGAAGTGTCACTAAATAACAAAGTAGTGTGGAAATTTTCAAAAGTTGGGTCATTGGGTTTACAGTTTGAAAAACAGCATCTCAAAGAAAAATGGACCCGATCAGCAAAATGCTGTGGCATTGTGTTGTTTCTGCTCATCATATATTCAGGTTCCTTAGTTTGATGGATTGTCATTGCTGACATTTGTTCTAGCATTTTGACACACCATTTGAATTATGATTAAAGAGGAACAGGGCAAAGAGCCACTGCACAGTTAGTGACAGCTCTTGAGAATAAAAAGGAGAAGAAGTGGCTGGAGAGA